GTCACGTGTGTGTTTGTGGGAGATTATTCCAGGGTACTGGGGATTATTTCATATCAACAGAATAGCAACCTTCAAATCCAAAAGTCTAATATGCTTTATCTTTTAAGCAGGCAACATGGTGGACGCGATTGCGCTAAGCAGATAGTAAAATTAGATTAACACACAGGCAATTACAGTAAATATACTGATAAGTTATGAGTTCTTTTTTCTCAAATACACAGTACTTATTATTAAAAATTAGATACTTTCAAAAGAACCCAAAATTCACCAAATGGATGCGCCTGTAGCATATAAAAGAAATTACCCATAACATAAAGTATCTAACTATATTCCTTCTGATTTTCTGAGGTTACCTACGCAGAAAATTTTGTGTGAAACATATAAGAGATGGTGTACATTTGTGTGCTAGCAAAACGGAAAAGAATGCGCATTTGCACACAAGTTTCAAACATTAAATAATACTAATATTTCTTTCTACATAGTATATTCTTTCTAAATAATTCAAAAATCAATTATTTTCTATACAAATTCATGAGTGCGCGCTTAGTTTTTGAGCGCCTTACAGGATGTGTGGTGCTCGAGCACAGCTTAGAGTTAGAAGAAACATTCGAATCTTCTACTAAGGAGTCATCCAGACATGACGTCACGCTATTTTGGCAGATTTACTGCCGCCACGCATTTTTTCCAATCATCAAAAGTTACAAGCAAAAGGTAGACGCCAGATACTCGTAGCCTCTCCCTTTTCAAATAAAAATTATTAGACGTCATTAATGTATGGCCCCTAAATGATTTCTGTATATTGATCATATGACCTCAAATCTTGTTTTCTTTTTAATGCAGCGAAATATAGGGGTACCTCAATTCTTTGACACCCCCCATTCTTCGGACACCTGTATCTCAATTCTAGGACACCAACACCTCAATTCTGGGACACCCTTTTATATATAAACGATTCCATCTACCACAACATGGTCAAGCAGAGCCATCGATTGGCTTTTCGAGGCCCTTGGAAGGCGCCACAACTGGAATGAATTTAGTTTATGTTGGGCTAGGGCGGATTTGGAGATGCCACTAATCGCTGTTACGGCTAATTTTCCAGCGTCCCATCCGAAAGTAAAAAAATATCCCTTTCATGTTTTTCTAAAAGAAACAACGAATTTAATTATACTTCAAAATGCATCCAAGCATTTTAAAGTTTGTAAAACTTTTCTAAAGAGACTCTTGCCCTAACTTTTGCTCGAGAGTTTTCGGCTCTCTGAATTTCGGCTTCCTCCTTCCCTCACGCTGATCAGTCGGACTGTGAAAGTTAAGCTCGCAAAAAATGATTAACTTGAGGCGCGCCACAACTGGAGTGAATTCAGTATGACACTGGGCGCCTCCCCAGCACGCTTGAAAAATTCATTGTCCTTATCAAATAGTCTAAGAGAAACAATGAATTCTCCAAAATGCACGTTTTGATTTTCAAACAAGCATTAGCAGAAGGGCTTCCCCCGACACCCCTCTCCACTCCCCAAACGCCATCGGTTCCCTCGATTTCTGCCCTACCTCCCGATAAAAATCACGCATAGCTGGACCTGATCGTCATTTCTGTTTTGCTGATAGATGCACTGCCTAGTGGCGTAAGTAGTATTACTGCCGCCTTTGGCCGGGCCAAGATTTTTGTTGCGCTCCTTTCACGATGCAAACTATGCAGCTGTACGAAAATGGTGCCCCGCCATATAGAGAAAAAGGGACAACCGAGCGGACCAACTCATCTGCCCTCTTTCTACACCTCTGGAGTAGCTAGAGTGTTTAGCGCCAGGGGACAAGATTCATTTTGTACGTCCCCTCAACTCTGAAAACCATTATTTTGGTCCATTAAATACCATTAAAGCACATTTTGGCGCCACCGCTAGTCTGGCGCTAATATGTCAACCACTGCCCGCCCCTTAGCTACGCCTCTGGTCTACTGGCCCTACCCCATCCCCCCCCCCCCCCCCCCCCAATCCTTCCCCAAAATCTTAAAAAAAAAAAAAAAAAAAAAAAACACCGGGCCATGCAACCACTGCAGCTGCAGGGAACCTCGGATATTTTAGGGGCCCAAAGATGTGACGTGTAAACTTTTTGATGATCAACTTTAAATGAGCGGGGTGGGGGCTGAAAAGTGGCAAAGAGGCCTCGAAAAGTCAAGCTCTGCATGCCGGAAAGCCTAGCTCTCACCAATCTATTTAAAGTGTGGATCAACGCTCAATTCACAGAATGGCGAGCTTTAATGGTTCGTGATGAGGAAAACCATGTTGCTGTTTTTAAGCGTTGTAAAATAGGATTACATTAAAAACTTCTTTAGGGGTCGTTCACAAATTACGTCAGGCCAAAAATGGCATTTTCAGACCACCCCCCCCCCCTTGTCATAAAGTGTCACAAATTGTTTAACACCCCCCCCCCTTTTTTCCCATTAGTGTCACGTCACACCTAAAAGAATTCAAAACATACATAAAATTTTCAAAACTAAACTAAGATTTGATTTTATTCTTGAACATTGCCCCCATAATGGGTTAAGGTGTAATATTATTAGAAAACTTTAACGTAAAACACAAAACAACGAAGTCCTCCCCTAGACGAAAGTAAAATGCCCTCAACAGTTTTTGCGTCATTTTTCGATAAGTCCAGACGGTGTGTGTGAATGAGAATCACGGTACTTATAATACCAGAGGCAAAGTCGACCTCAAACTAATGTTTTTAAAATTAATTGAATGAAGATCTTTTCAAAATTATTTAAAAAAAAAAAAAAAAAAAATTTTAAAAAAAGTAAAAAGCCCTCAACAGTTTTTGCGTCATTTTTCGATAAGTCCAGACGGTGTGTGTGAAAGAGAATCACGGTACTTATAATACCAGAGGCAAAGTCGACCTCAAACTAATGTTTTTAAAATTAATTGAATGAAGATCTTTTCAAAATTATTTAAAAAAAAAAAAAAAAATTTTAAAGTGTGACGTCACTTTTTAAAAAAATTATTCCCTCCCTTGCCCCCACCCTCCCCTGTCACAAAGGGTCACAAATTCTCGACCCCCCTCCTCCTGAGCGTGACGTAATTTGCGAACGACCCCTATTTCCAATGAAAAAAATAAAGAGTTCTCCAAGATAAAACTGAACATAACTATATCGCTTAAGGAAATAAAAATAATGCGAGAAACGACTATAAGGTGTGATGCTGTTTAATATATCAACGATAATACAATTTAAACTTTAAGATGAAATTTAGGGAAAGTAAATTAAATAAATAAAATACAATCGTTTAAATCAGGTGTTTACATAACTTTGATGTCACGCTTTGTAGAAACTTGTTCGTTTGTGTGTCAAGTCATCTCTTTCTTTACGTATCCCTGTATTTAAACAAATATAGTTGCTTAGAATTAGAATGTAACAGAGAAAGCTGAATACTGGGGAATAACTTTGAAATGAGAACTACATTTTTTTTTTTTTAAATTCCTGGAAGTCCAGGGCTTTCTCTGTCACATAGGATCCGCGATCTGAACTGCTTTAGAGCGCAGCGCACACATTTTTGCTGGGGCTCTAACAAAATGCAAAAATACTCACTTCAATCTTTACAACAAAAAAAAAGAAACAAATAAGCGGGTAGAGCAAACTCGATTCATTTCTAGAATCTACTTGAAGAGTTAGGTCTAAGAATCGTTGGTAAATTAGAGAATTCGAATTAATAATTCATTAAGAAATAATCTGTGAGGTTAGTTGCGAACACCAAATCACGAGAAAACACAAGTCTAGTGGGATGGAGTGCTTGAATCTTGTCCTCAGCAGTGGCTAGGGTTGGTGTCAACGGGTGCGGTAAACTCATGGTGCCCTCCCCCCCCCCACACACACACACGCACACCACCCCCAATTTTTCCTCGACTTCCACGATTGATTTCTTCTTGTTAAAATAAGTCTACAGTATAGCAATGACAAGAAAAAAAACAAATTAATTGAAGGTCAGGAGGTAAAACGGTAAATGTATTTAAGAACTGTAACATGTAGGCCTACTTAGGATCGTCCGACAACATCATATTTGGTATCAACGGAGAGCTTTATTTCTCAGAATTTAGATAAAATTTGCTTCCTGTCCCTTACGAAAGTTAACCACCACTACAATGGTGGTCAAAGCGGTGACCTATCAACCTTGAACGATAAAGAAAGCAATCATAAATATGGATTGGTTACATTTGTGAAAAATTTACGTCCATGCCCATGCCTAGGAAATTCTAGGCCTCAGACAGGTGACAGAGTTCGAGCCCCTTTCGTGTTTCAAACATGTGCGTATATTTTTAAAAATCGAAAAAGGGCAGGTCCCTATCTAACTCGGGCCTCTGACAAATGCCATGCTTGTTGTTGTCGCGCACCCCCCCCCACCCCCCAGGTGCAGGCCTGCTTAATCGGTTATCCTTTTATGAAATTCGGTTAGACTGAGCAGTATGTGCTATATGCAATTGTTCAATTTGGTGTCACCCCCGAAGAGGGTGTCTACCGGTGCTGTCCGCACCCCCTAGCTACGCCACTGGAAGTAGGCCTACCTATAGGTAATAAACATAAATCAACGCAAATCTTGGAATATTTGAGTCTAGGAGTCAAGACTTGCCAAACCGTGAGTGGGGATTCAAAATTAAGATGCTGATGCCTTGCAACAAACCTTCTATGGTTGATTCTAAAGGGGTAAACCTCATCAGGAAGATGTAGAATGTAAATTGGCAGTCACTATGCTTAGTTGTGCCTGTGGCATCCCAAATTTCCAGGAAACGGTTCTGATTAAATTCCAAGAATTACTTTAACGACATTGGGGACACGACACACTTGACACTAGTTTAATATAAAGAGAAATAGGACAAACTTCTTTTAATCGTCTGAACTTTCTTCCAGACCTAAATTATATTTTAAAATGATCGATTATTATTTCAATCCGTTAGAGAATGGATTTAATGATAAAATTAAAAGGCGAAAGAAAATACACCGCGATCAGGAAGCATCTCTGATTAAATCGGATCTGCGGAAAATTAAAAATTAGATCCATTGTTTTTGTTAAAGTAATGGTTTATTTTTAACTTTATAAAATACAATAAGGTCTATGCCTATACCATTATTTATGTAGTTGTCATCAGTCTGATTTGAATGGTTCACATTTATTTATATTAAATGAGACTTGATATGTGTGTGTGTTGCTAGTGCTAGCCAGGCCTAGGCTAATTTACTTACCACCTAATTTATTTAGTATTACTAATTTATAAATAAAAAAATATATTGTATATTATATATATTAGCAGGGACGTCATTTTTATAAATAAAAAAATATATTGTATATTATATATATTAGCAGGGACGTCATTTGGGTAGGGCAGGGTGGTGCATTTGCCTCCCCCCCCCCCTTTCCTGAATTTTTAGGTTTTATTTAAATTGCCATGTACTGTGGTCGCCTCCAGTAATAAACAACTTACCCCCCCCCCTCCCCTTTTCGTAAATTAGCAGGGAAGTCATTTGGGTAGGGCCGGGTTGTGCATTTGCCTCCCCCCCCCCCTTTCCTGAATTTTTAGGTTTTATTTAAATTGCCATGTACTGTGGTCGCCTCCAGTAATAAACAACTTACCCCCCCCCCTCCCCTTTTCGTACCCATGAAAAAAAACTGACATGACGCCCCTGTATATTAGTACTAAATTAAAATACTATTTTAATATTTCTATTATTAGTTATGACCTATAAGTCTAAATAAAAACTAAGTTTTCTACTCCAGTCCAGTTAGAAACATACAACTAAATCTAATCTAATCTAAAGCGAAGGAAATCAGTGAATTGTGAAACAAGTTATAAGAAAACCTGAAAAAAAGATGCACCAAAACAATGAAGATGTTGGCAAAAATCTTTCTTCAGTGAACAAACAATGATTAACATAAAAATAAACACTTAACTGACTTAACTGAAGCTGAAATGTTGTATCCTAGAGGACAACAAGCGGAATGTAATAGACCATTCATTAGCTAGTATGTAAAAAAATTAATATTGGCCTACACAAAAGGCAAAGGAAGAGAGGAAAATTAAATCCAATGCTATTAATTATATAAAGGAGAAGAAGTGGGAGTGGAGAAAATGTTTTAGGAGTGAAGTAGAACATGAAATTCATGGATCAGTTTGTTTTCTATGTTTACCCTGGCAGGCGTGTTGGTACAGGAAACAATTGACAGTAACAATGATGGCTGGAGCCCTTGTGGCATGGTCACTTCAATTGAAGTGATGAAGTTACTTGGCCATCACCATCGCTGAAGAACGCGATACCTTGTTTCATAATTTCCTTGTGGCTGAGCCCGAAATCAGTCTCCCTCCCCCCCCCCTTTTTTTCTTCTCATATCTTATGCTAACCATAACTTTGTCATTAAATTTATCTTTAAAATTGTCCATATTTGAAATTTACTAAATAAAGTAGGTGTAAATTAGTTGAATCTTCCATAGTTGGAAAATGCCTCTTTGGACTTGTGCATAGTTATTGGGTATTTTAACAGACTATTTTTCTTTGACTCATTTATAATACTATACAATTTCCTCTTTCACTTTACAAATTGCATTAACTGTTTCTTTATTAGCCTAGAACTACTTCTACATGAAGCTTTGTTTTTTTCAAGGTTTATAAGATGATCCCCTAAACTTTCACTGACTGACTGAAGACTACCATCAATTTGAAACTTACCTGTCATCATGCTTACATCTAAAGACTTGTGAGTCAGTTTTTATATTCTGTTGTTAGTTATCTATCAAACTTATGATACAACCAACTTAATTTTTTACTTACAACAATGCACTATATAATAAAGGCACTTGAGGAATCAAACGTCAAACCCCACCTGAAGTTGAAAGACCGCAGCCTATTTGGTATGTGATAATACCAGGTAGTCTTTGCTGTCCCAAAACACAAAATTAAAGATATTTGTCATACATTTTATTTTTAATGAGCGATTGTTCATGGGATGTAATAGTTAAAAAAGTTTTTTTTATATTTACTTTAACTGTCTAAGCTTAGATATTTTATTTCAGTATATGTTTCTTTTCAGTGAGCGACATAGCCACGAATATGGAGACATAATAGTTTCATGTCCAGTTCATATTTCAAAGGGAATCAGGCAAAAAGAAAATGAACAAGTTCTGCAGCTCTGTTGCGCCCTGCTTAACTCTTGTGGAGGAATTTTAGAAATGAGGAACATAGATTTCAGCAATGGTACGCAGTCAAAATCATTGGATGCATGGTGGAGTGGAATGGAGAGCAATCTCGCAAACATTATGTCCTGCGATGATATCTGCAACTATTTTGATTTTATCGGCAACTATGATGATGAGTATTTTTACCTTTTTGTGAAATCAGCTGAATATTTGTGCACGTTAGACTACAACTGCCGACTGCCAACAGATACTGCTACACACTGTGTGACGTACCAGTCGGCCATTAAACTCTGTTCCACTATGGGATGCAGCAAGCCTTTATCAGCTCTACCTCCCATACCATCAACTTTTCTCAATGGGCAAATTGAAGAAAGTCTTAAACAGGAAGGTAAACAGATTCAGTTCAAACTGCTCGTCTCAGAGCCTGACTCCACTAGGACACTGGGAGACAAGGTTTGCTATCACAGCAGCAGATATATCTCAGCCTTTGCCAATCACGAAGGTGGTCACATATATTTTGGAATTGAGGATGCCACAGCTGCTATTTATGGCGAGGAAATATCTGAAAGGGATGAAGTAAAATGTAGTAAGTTTATATACTTTTATTTGTGTTTGTATACATATTATTTTTCTTTGTTTAACTTGACAAATTTGTTTGTACTCCTCTAGGATACAAGAAAAATAAATAGTAAAACCTCTCTAGGAGTTTTAAATCAGATTAACAACAGTTAAAGCTACTTAAAAAGTTATAGTAATTGCTTTAATGGGCCATCCTAAAAGATTGGTGAAGACGAGAAACCTTGTAGCAAAAATGGGACCCTATCAGCAGGTCAATGTTTGATTTATATAAATTTAAAAAAAAAAAAATTAATTATAAAATGTATGCTTTCAGTGAAAAGAAACAGTGACCTAAATTCCATTGATTTGTTTTGATTTTACACTCTGTATACTAAGATTTCAAAATCAGGAGTATCATTACACTTGAACATCTGGGGAGGGCTCTGTAACTCTGGGAATGGGCACATGTTTTTGCTCACAAAACCCGGTAAATAAATTTCACAATGGTTGCAGCCCCCACCAATCATGATGATGGATTGCTTACTAAATAATAATAATAATAATAAAATTTGGAATATTTGTAACTATGATTTCAGTATAATTGAAATTGGGTTATTGTTTGGTAAGAATGAACAACCTATTTAGATTGGCACTGGAATTTTTTTTTTTTTTTATCTTTAACAAAAATAAACATAATAAGCAAGATTTTTATAAATATTAATGATTATCATCCATCGCCTTAAAAAAAGAATTCCTGTTGTATTTGTAGTGTTTATTTTAATTTTTTTTTCATTTTAAATCAGTATTTACGATTTTCTTTCTCAGCCAATATGATTCAGTCAAAGATGAATTCCATTATCTGGGGAGACACAAGATTTGCTGCACTAAAAGGAGTTCATTGGGATATTAAATTCATTCCTGTTTTTAAGTCTCCAAATCAGGTATAACTTTGCAATTGATTTTTGTTTTAATTGATTGATACTGTAAAACGAATATCTAATTATAAAGAATGAATGCAGACATCTGGTTTTTAATTTTAAATGTAAATGTGTGACATATTTCCTTCTGTGTTTCTTTTTCTTTCTTATTTGAGTTTAAATTCAAACAACCATCCAACTCAAATGAGATATTCATTTAGCTCAATACATTGACAACATGATACATGGTAACAAGTAATATCATCCTGTTATGAAAGTCTGCTTTGCAAGAAGCTAAAAGTCCGCTCCAAATAATGTAATATATAAATGAGAGTGATGACTGAGATACAAATACTGAACTTTTTATTATTCTGAATATCCCGTAATTATGAGGTAAATATTTAAAAAATTCATCTTGATGGATTATTTGATGTGCCCCCCCCCCCCAACCCTCTTATTTTAAGTGACACTGCAGGACAGAAAACTGGTTTGCCACTTGCTGTCAATGGTGCTGTGGATGTCCTAATGTCCTGTGTTTTTGCATCTAAAAAAAAAAATTGCAACAAATGTCTACCCTTCCATTTTTTTTTCTTCTCAGCAACGCAGGAAGGTTATAGTAGTGTCAGTGTGTAAGATGTTTGGCGGAGTTTTCACTAGCTGTCCTGAATCGTACGTCCTTACAAGCCAAGTACAAGCAAATCGATGGGCCCCCAAATATGGAATACGTCGGCTGGAATTCGATGAGTGGAAAGCTGAGCTGCTTAACCAAACTAGAGGTTCTTTAAACACACCATTTAATCATCATTTGATCATTAGTGGAGTTGATGATTGCATTTGTCTCATTTGAATGTGCTTTGAATTTTTGTACAAGCTGTATATCAATTGCAAAGTATAATAATGCTACAGTAAAACCTCCGTTTTACGACCTTAAAATTGCCATTAAAACGAGGTCTTAAATTGGAGGGCTTCTTAAAAAAGAGGTAGGACATTTTTGAAAAACAACATTTAGAAAATTAAGTAAACAAGTAAAATAAATACAAAAAGTACACGTACCATTAAGTATAGGCAATATCTACCATCTTTCTTTCAGAAATATAGATTAAACTCCATCTCACAACCAATACTGTCACTATCTTCATTTTCCTCATTGATTCCAAAATAAAAAATCAATGCTGGTATGGTCATTGTTTAAAATCATGTGTAAGTGCTGAGTGCATGCTTAGAGTTATAACTATTTATGTATAAGATAAGCCTATTAATATTGTTGTAATTATTTTTATTCAATCATTGAATAGTTGTTGTTTTTTTTTTAAAGAAAGCTGTTATTTCTGTTTGATTGCATGAATGTTCTTTTTACTTTTAGTAGACATGGTGTCGGCAAGGTCTGAAAGGCCCCTGCTCAGGGTAAATCTGGTCAGCTCCTTAGAGTATTTCAAGGCAGTGGATAAGTTGATAGGAGTTATTTCCCCTTCACTACTTCCAAGCTGCTTAAAAGTTGTAAACGAAACTGTTTTCTTCAACTTCAAGCGCACAAATCTCATTGCTTTAGAAAAATCTGACTTTTTTGCTAGGTTGTTAAATTAATTATTTGAAGGTTGCAAGTTGCATTTTAGAGGGAGTCGTTTAAGAGAGGTCGTTTATGTAGTACAAAGCATTGGTGAATTTTTTTCCGGTCGTACATTGGAGGAAGTTATTTAAGATAGGGTCTCAAAACTGAGGTTTTGCTGTATTAGTTTTTTATGTACAATTACTTGATAATGTTTTTTTTTTAAACTCAGTTTTAAAGCTGAATCCTAATTTCCCTTTTCAGAATGTAAAATATGCTAATAAATCCATAATTTTATATTTAAATCTTCACTTCATCATTGTGTCATGCCCCACTTATATTTAGAAACGTGTCCAATTTGTTATGGAATATGAAAATTTCTTAAATAGATCTTAATATCATGTTTTTTTAAGTTATATTGGATATCACTTTTTTTTTTTTGTTTGCACATAAAAACTGTCGTATTAGTGCAACTTCCACTATATTTCAGAGGTGAAATCACTGAATTCAAGGTTCGTCAAGATCCCCTTACGATCTCCCCAGTCTAGACTTGTGTATTCTTTACCTCACACATTACAGGCAGCTAGAGAGAGGGTCATTAAGTGTAAGATAATCTGTTGTATTGTGAAAACATATATCACAATTCATTTGTAACTCTCAACTTGCAGTGATAAAATTCTCTCATGACCTCTGGAATTAAAGAGATGAATTGATACATACTTATTTGAGTAAAGAACTATTTACATTTTAGTTTAGGTGAGTTCACTATATAATCATTTCCAAGCCTCTAATCATTTATAAATAATTTTGTGTAGTACAATAAATTGATAAACAATTCAAATGGACCTATCTGCTTGTTCCAGTAAAAATTAATAAAATAAGGACTGTAAAAATACAGTAATCAAATCATTTTGACATTCCTGAAATTAAATTCATTTCCATTAAAATTTCAGTGTCTCCTGGTCTCAGCATCCACCCCAAGAACATTCTTCAGTCTCTCCCTGATGATGACGTTCGAAAGGCGGTCTCAAAACTGATTGGTACATTTTCTGAAGAAGCCCACCTGGTGGTTTTCATAGACTCTTGGGGACTTGAGCTGGATTTGCCGCCTAGACCAACCTCCATCAAAGCCAGTTTTGCAGTAATCAGCTCACTGTATGGGATACATCTTGCTTGTTTAGTGTCTAATCCCCTCCCTGAACATGATGTTTGGCAGTTTTCTTGCCTCATGGCCATACGCATTAAAAATGTAAGTTCATATTCTATTTAAAACTTAAAGACAAGGGTTCACGCCCGCTGGCCGCATCTGACTATGGATGAGGCCAGAATAAAAATCGTTATTTAATGGACTAAAATATTATGGGTGCTTAGCAATGTATTGAAAGCGTTGCAGATATAATTTGCGCTGATAAAAAGGGGCTTTTCTAAAAATCATTTTGTTTCTCCAGACTTTCGACAGCCGTATTGATGAAATAGAAAATCTATCAAAAAAGATTGAATTTTATATTTTGGTGATAGATGAAAGTACTGATGCCACCTATACAGCTCATAAAGAGTGGAACAAAATATGTTTAGGCTTGATAAAAAGACAGAACAATTTTATTAATTTTTTTTTCACATAAAAACTGTCATATTATTGTAATATGAAATTAGTGAAACAAAGTAAGGTTAAACCTGAAAAAGGAACGCAACAAAACAACAAATGTGTCGGCAGGAAGCCTTCGTCAGCGAACAAAACAGAAAAAACAGAATAAAATTAAAATTAAAAAATAGCACTTAGCTGAGAAGTAGTATCTAAGTAGTAGAAGTAGAATTGCAAAATTCATTTGCTGCCCTCGTGGATGCCAAAGACACTTTTAAATCAAGAGATGTATACGAAGCAGTAAAAAATATGTTTAAGCTATGTTCTTTGTCCAATGTTAACATATCTGGTCCGCCTTCTGATGGTGTCCAGGGCGATGATAGGTTGATGAGATGGACTTTTAAAATGATTAGATTAGGAGACACTGTGGCCTCCCAAAATTCATGTATGATTAAATTGCACTGCATATTACACTAAGAAAATTAATGTGAAAAAACTTTAAATGCAAATTGTAATCAAGGCTGTAAATTTTATAAGGGCAATATCCAGGAATTTCTTATGTACTTGCATGCTGGCTATGGGAAAACCATTTTTGGAAGTGAGATGGTTAAATCAAGGTGAAATGCTGAAAGGATTTTATGATTTGTGAGATGAAGTTTCTGCAAGAACTTGTCGATGAATACTAGCTCACTGATTTAGTTATTTTTAATACTTGACCACTCATTTAAATGATTTAAACATGCATCTTCAACGTAAAAACCAAATGATCACATACACTGTTTCAAGCTATAACGGTTCTTGAAATGAAACTGAAAATATGGCAATATCAACTTAAGGCAAAAAAAATTTATGCAATGCAACATGTTGGCTTAACACTGTCCTTCGCACAATGAAAAATATGCATCCTTGTTTTTCAATTTGCTGAAGAATTCGAATACAGGTTTCAAGATTTCCAGAAAAAAATCATCAATCGATTGGTATATTTGCGACTCCATTTTCAGTCCAAATAAAGATATCATTTGTCAATTTTCAATGGAATGCATAGTAATACAATATGACATTCAACTTAAAGAAAAATTTGATCACGTTTCTTTACTGTACTTCTATGAGATATATCTTCCCAGAGAAAAATATCCTTTGCTTCAAAACCATGTCATCACTAATTGTGAGCACTGACATTTATGATGAGGTATTTTCAAATCAAGATTAAAACTAGAACCAAAATATCTGGAGAGCACCTTAAGAACTCCCTGAGAATTGCAACTAACTTCCATCGAACCAAATATGGAAGCCCTGGTTTCTCAGTAACAATGTTAAAAATCTCTTTAGTTTCATGTTGGTGAATGAATTAAAGAATTTTAAATGACTTCAATATGTTAACTATATATTATATATTCTACGTTTTAATGATGGTAGCCTGTCATTGGTGTTAGTGCATTAAATGTGTGACTTTAACAACTTGTCTCCTTACAATGTGGCCAGGGAATCTGAAAGGTTGGACACCCCTGCTTTAAGCACATTAATTTTAAAAATTTTATTTTCTGTTTTTCTTTTAATCCGTGGAATTATAATTTCATAACACCCTGATTATACAATTATATGAGCTTTTTTTGTTTTGTTTTTGTTTTGTGGATTGGCCAAGTTTTAAATAATACTTATAAATAACACAATTTTATAGACATCTCTTACATATTGTTTCATTTCTTCATGGGACAATCAAGATTTTAGTGCAGCATGGAGGATGTGTTAGTCATCTGGGTATCAAGACCCATGTCCTTGACATGCATGCCCCATTCATGCTGGAAAACTTCCAAGGCTCTATAGATGTAGATGTATACCCACAAACCTACAAGCTGAGAGAGGACGACCTTAATGAGATTATCACAGCTCTGACTGTAGCTGTGGCTTCGTATAAGAATTTAGGGTATGCATCTCATTGTTTTGAGCATAGACTTCCTTCTGTTTGTTTTAAATATTAAGGCTTAACACTGTAAAAAAAAATTTCTTAAAAAAAATATATGTTTGAAAATGTCGTTACTGAACTCTTAGTTCTTAAAACTTCAAGTGTTTGTTCTGTAGGTCTTTTGTTTAAACCTTTTCAACAACTTTTTGCATGGATTCATTGACTCTAGCACTCTTTATGCACAGATCTATTTAAGTTTACTGGGGTCTTGTGTACAGGTTGTTGTTTGATAGACATGCCACAACTTAAACAGAAAACTTTCTTATTTAAATAGCATTTTAAAATTCTAGTTAAGCCACACCTGTCACACAGGTAAATAAAAAATTATTATCTTCCAGTCAATAAATTGATATTTATTAAAGAAAAATCATGTGGTATAGAAAAAAAAATTATGATTTAGATTTATGCTCATGTAATATTTTACTGGCCCATTAATAAGTCTTCATTGTTCTATTTTATTCTCAGATCTGAAAAAGGCACTGAGACTGACTTCTATTTTCTGCTGACCTGTGACCAGTTAGAACTGTTATGGTGTCATCAGTTTACAAAGGAACTGTGGATTCATGGGCCCCCAGGCTCTGGCAAGACAATAGCAGCCCTGGAAATGATGAAGGAATTCCTCAGGAGGGGCTGCCTGAAACATGAGATATTATATGTTGCAGAGAACCCACTTCTGTGCTCCTTTGTGCGGTAGGTTTCCTTTTTTTGTTGTCCATTTCGAAGCTGAATTACGGTAACCATCAAGAATCCCCAGCTTAACTCCTCAGCCCAGTATTATATTTATGAATCTCTGTGTTTTCCTGTTTTCCTTCCTGTATAAAAGCAAAATTATTTTGGTGAAATCAGAAATACTTGGCCTTCTTGGTACAAATTCTTAGTATTACAATAGTTAAGATAACAATAAATCCAAGCAGCGACACAATGACTATTCCATTAGGCCTAAGGCCAAAGACCAAAACTTTTGGTTGCTGTCTGGAAAAAGTCTGAGGATCCCAACTTTCAATTTTAGTTTAAGGTTGAAATGGATAGTCATGTTTTAAACTACCCAAATTCAACAGCCATTTTAAAAAACTATATCAAAACCTCCTCAAAGGTGTAAGTTAACATTTGGTTAAGGGGGCGTCCATTAATTACGTCAACAAAATAGTGGGGGGAGGGGGTTTGGAAATGTTTGACAGTTGTTGACAGGGGAGAGGAGGCGGGGAGATGGTTAGGAGGTGATGGGATGGAGGTGATGGGATGGAGGTGATGGGTTAGAAGGGGGTGTGATTTAGTGATGGGTTAGGGGGTGGTGGGATGGAAGGGTGGGGTTAGAGTTAGATCAGTTGACGTCAACAATCAGGTTTTTTCTATTAAAATTTTAATCTTAAAAATAGACTGGTTCTTACATTATTTTAAACAATTTAATGAGTGTAAATAGTCGTATATGTTTAGGCTTTTAACAATATAAGAGTTATTTAATGTATGTCTTTCTGTGCACTGCACATGGTTGGTCAGAATGTTCACGTTGTCACTGCAAGAGAAGTCAAAAGTTGGCATCTCTTCACCTGGCATTTTTCTCTTAATCGGCCCCCTAGAATGATTAACACATCGTTGTACACGGTGTTAAATTAACAAAAAACACCAACTTACCTTTGTTCAATAACAACTATACCAACTCAAAGACAGAGAGAGCTTATTGCAATTATTGCTCACACTGACAATGCTTCTATTTTAATTGCTGAATGGTTAGTTAAGGATGCTGTTGACTTGTCTGGTATAGCAGTTTCCAGTTTCGCAAGATGAAAATGATAAATCAGATACTATAGACTATGCCCATCAGGGGCGTCATTTCAGTTTTTTTTCCAGGGCAAGGGAGGGGGTGGGGGACAAAACCAAAACTTGTTCGGCTTGTTAAGTTGTTTATTACTGGAGGTGCCACAGTACATAGCAATTTAAATAAAACCAGCAAAATGGGGGGGGGGGGGGGGTGTGTGCAAATGCTCCCCTGCCCTACCCAAATGATGTCCCTTATGCCCATTGTTACGATAGAGCAACACGTGGCTACTCCATGGGAAGATAACAGCAGCTAGAAACAATGCTATAATTTTCACCTATACTGACAAAAATTATATTTATACTTTTACAAACAATGATATTTAGTCTCTAACAACCTTTTAATTGATTCTGCTTTATAAAATTTAAGTTTAAAAACTTTTTAACTTGTTAATTAACAAGCTAAAGATGTAATGAAATGTTTTTCCTACAATTTTGTGTTATTAAAAAGACATCAGCACAAAGTAAAACGTATTTATAAATTTATTTATATTATAATTCATTTTCTTTTTGAAAAAAAAGGGAGGGGAAGGTATAAAATGTTGACATAAATTAAATAGGGGTGGTCAAGTTTGACAGTTGTTGACTGGGGTTGGGGGGTCAAAAATTGCGTAAAAAGTGTTGATGTAATTAATGGACGACCCTAAGAACCACTGCCCTGGACTTGTGCTATGTTTTTAGATAATACATAAATAATAAAGTTTTTTTAACATGGATCTGTGGGAGAGAGTTTTTTTGTTTTTTTTACAAATCAAATGAATTTTTACAAATTCTTAAAAAGTTTCACCAATTGTTTATGTACCGGATAATAATCAAAATACAATGGCTTAATTAACAATTTTTTTTTTATTGATCAGGATTTTTTTTAATGAATTCTTAATTCTTTAAATACAGTATTCAAAGTTGCAAAGCAGTACCAAGTCCAGTTATAATATGTTTCACCTTTATTTCAGTTCCTTTGATCTATGCTTGGTTCGAAATAGAAGAGAACTGCTGTTAGAATCAGTGAACCCCACTCTGTCTGGTCAATACAGTCAGATAAAAAATGTCATTGTCGATGAGGCTCAAAATTTCAAAGACAGGGATGGGGACTGGTATGCTTTGCTGGAGAAACTTTCTAAACAAAATGTCAAAGATCCAAAGGACAGCACCTGTGGATACTTCTGGGTGTTCATGGATTATGCTCAGAAGGTACATAAATTTGAGGCAGGTCTGCCTGGATTAATAGGCAAAAACAACTTTATTCTCAGAGAGATTTCACGCAACTCTAAAGAAATCTACGACTATGCCAAAAAGTTCATGGAGAGTTCAGCAGAAGCGAAATCGGATGAGTGCGTGGCAGTCTCCAAACTAGGTCATGAGTACATGTCTGGGGAGGATGTCAGTGTCCTCAAGTGTGACAAAGCTGGACTGCAGGAAATGCTGTACAAGGTCTTGAAGCACTTTACAGATTTAGGTGTAGATGTTAATGACATGGCTATCTTGGTCAGTAAGAAAAAAGAAGCAGAGGAGATTGAGAAGACTGTGCGAGAAGGAAATCTCTTGGAGTCTGTCATTAAAAGTCCTACAAAATTACAATCCCTTACAGTTGGGCCACCCAAACTGCCAGTGTCGGCAATACCAACTGATTCAAGTCTAGACCAGACAGACTTTGGTTCAGAACCTGTCAGTGACTCACAAAACTCTCCACCCAGCAGCAGGCGCTCTACTGTTAGTGCTGACGGTAAACATCTGACTGTGTCCACCGTAAGGGAGTTCAGTGGTCTGGATAAATCGGTCATCATTGGGCTTGAGCCACACATTAACCAAGATCACGGTGACATGGACAAGTTTTTGCTGAACCTTGTGACCAGAGCCAAGGACTCGTTAGTGATTCTCACTACCTCAGATAAAATGATGGGCACCTTGAAACAGAAATGATTCGTAAGTTTGGAGAGTGCAGCTCTCTGTTACACCTGATACAGATCCTCCACTGTTTAAAGTATTGTTAGTGTAGGTTACTTTAATTTTTTGGGAAATGTGAGTTTTGTTTCAATCATGTCAAAGTTCTTCATAAACAATCATCTCTGCTGTAAATCTATTTTGCAACGCAATGTATAATACATGTTTACCATTTATGGTAGTTATCTTTTCATAACTTCTTTGAGTCTATCATAGTCAGGCATAGAAGGGATAGACAAAACTATAATTAGGAGCTAGCAACTTATAAGCATACATACAAGCATTAGCCCACCTCTTGTCTCTGCTTATTGCTTGTTAGTGCAACTGTGTCATACTTCCAAGCATATATTTGAAAAACCTTTTTAACCAGGTGGAGATAAAACATTTGCTTGTTTGAAGGTCTATGTGTTTGGAACTGTAATTTACTACTCTTATGCTTGTATACATTATATATTAGATTGTATTTATATATTGTTTTATTTCTCTGGTATATATATATATATAGAACATTTTTAAAAATGTATTGTTTATAGATTTCACATATGGAATGAGACTCATGGAAAAAAGGCTGCATTTGCTCATTTCAATAATCAAATATTCATCAAACTCGCTATTGTCAATTGCTCATTTCAATAATCAAATATTCATCAAACTCGCTATTGTCAATAGATGAGGTTATTATTCTAACCCCAATACTTGCATTTATTCAAATATTCTTTTTTAAATTTAAAATAAAACAATAAGTTCACACATTATGTTTTCTTCAACAGGATCTTTATCATCCCTAAAATGACATCCGAATAGCACTGAGTCAAAATGGACCCAGACATGCAGCGCCGCCATATGCACCCAGGTACCATTAGACTCAAGCTATTCGGATGTCATTTGTGGTAGTTTATTTTAGTTAAACTGAAGAAGTAAGTTTACAAACATATCGTCCATTCAATTATCTTTCATTTCATTCCTCATTTTGTCTTACAAACCCAACAATAATATTTTAAATAGTTTTTTAATCCCAACCTCTCACTTTTGGTTCCTGGGTACGAATAGTCGCAGCCAATTAAAAATGCAGGCTACGCTTAACAGAGCACACTGAGAGGAATCCAGATTGTAGAGTACCAATCCAAACTGCAGACTGAGATGGATCAATGATGTAGGGGGTGGGGGAGGGGGGGGGGCATGCATAGAGAGTAGAGAGGAAAAGCCATGGATCGGATGGAAGGATGTTGTGTAGCTCTTGAAGAGAATGGTTGAAACTGCAGACTGAGATGGATCAATGATGTAGGGGGTGGGGGAGGGGGGGGGGCATGCATAGAGAGTAGAGAGTAAAAGCCATGGATCGGGTGGAAGGATGTTGTGTAGCTCTTGAAGAGAATTGTTGAGATGACAGATGTGGCTTCAATAAGATTGACCTAAATACCCTGCAGCTGCTTATTCATTTCATTGCATTTAGTTTAAAAAATATCTCCTGACTAATTTGCATGCAATGGTTTAAGGTCTTAGGTCGTTGAGGTCAGCATTAAGAAAAGTCAAGTTGCTCCAAAAAATCTCCATTGCAGTTTCTAATAGCTTGTAAAAACAAAGTTAACAAACATTATACGGTAGGAGATCCCTTTAGCGGCATCGTTATGTTCTATTTTTTGGATCCCTTTAGTGGCATCATTATGTTCTATTTTGTGGATCCCTTTAATGGCATCGTTATGTTCTATTTTGTGGATCCCTTTAACGGCATTGTTATGTTATATTTTGTGGATCCCTTTACTTAAATGGCATCATTATGTTCTATTTTGTGCATATCATATATATAGTTCCCCATGCGGTAATCCTTGCTTATTTATTAGGACTCATAGGACACCCTCTCAGTAATTCCATGGCTTCACTTCAAGAACCTCATTTATAGTTTAGTCATAAGTTAATTACTAGAGTTTGAAAAAGTGGCTGTTTAAGTACTGCATATATGTGATCTCATAAGCTATGCTGTAAAATCATTTTAATTTTAAGTGTGATCATCTTCTATATAGAAACTTAAATCTTATAATTTGCTCAATAATATTTATCAAGATATTTTAATCTGTGATTCAAAATATTTATGTGTAATGCTTGCTTCTCTAAATTCAATTTCATAGCTTGTAAATTTCATGCATTTTTATTTTTAAAAAATTGGACCTTTTTGTGGTCAATGAGTTAATGTAACTTGTTATCACATATTCTACCTTGTAGATAGTAGATAACAGTGTACACTCAATCTAAAGCTGAATTGTGGGGGGAATAAATGAGGTGATCAGCTTAGTAGCGGTTGATTTTTATAATTTTTTTCCGGGTACATTTATTAATCAAATTGTTATTGTAGACCGCTGAGGTCTTAGTGTACGCTCAACAAGATTCGAATACAGAACCAGAAGCTTTAAATATTTTTCAAACACAGATACCGGAAGTAAATGACACTGCTATCATTACAAAGTAATGATGCTATCATTACAAAGTAATGATAAGTATATAATTAAACTATTAATAAAGTGTCAGGCTGGTCTTTACATATCATTATTTTATGGGGTCGACCTATCAGTGGCTTATACACTTTCAGGCTTTTCCCCCCTCCAAAACTAAGGGGTCAGTTTAATAACAAATGTTCTTAAAATGAGCGTAGAGACCATTATGAATATAAGGTATGAAATTGTTAGAGAATACATTAATATTTTAAGTTAACAATACTTTTAACTTTTATTTACATACAAATCAAACACTTGTAGTACTTTACTTAGTTCATTCATTATTTTTCATATTACTTTACTTAATTATATTATATATTTATCCATATACCCACACTAGCTTTTTCTCCAGTAAACTTATAATCTGATGTTGAGATGTTGCTTTATCTCTCTTCACCAGTGTTGTTTACATTTTTTACCAGTATTGTTAAAATGTAGTCCACTATTAATAAAATTACTATTATGTGTCTTTATTTACTTTACAGACACTGACATTTTCTTTCAAGGTAAAAATTCATAGTAAAAATAAAATTCATTCCAACTTTCAATCACATGTTATTTTGCATTTTGTTTACCCTGTCAACAAGTTTTTGTTCATTCTGGATGTTTAGTCTGGCAAATTCAACTTAAAAAAATTGGTAAGATTGCACGATTTTTTTTTAATCCCATATTTATTGACATTTGTAGACTCAGGCTTGATATCCTCTTCATTAAAAGTTGTGTTACTAGGCTGTAGTTATTTGACCAGACTATGTTTAACAATGTTACAATATTTAGTGTGCAAGGTAGATTTTACCATTCTGCCAGAGGGGCTGGGGGGGGGGCAATGACATAAATGTTAACATATTTTACTCACAGTCTCGATGCAGTAATGAATGAACCAAAAATAGACATTCCAGAAATTATTTTTTTTTTGGTTAGTTCCTGAAGATAAATTTTATTGACATTGCCCAGTATTCAATTTTTTTTGGTGGAATTTATAGTTTACACACTAAAATCCATATATAAATAATATGATGTAAACAGAGTGCTGTATTTAACTATATTCATCGCCACATTTGATTTAAGCGGGTTAAAAAGAAGTCTGGCATTTTTCTGAGTGTTTTTTTTGCATTAAAATTTTTAATGCCAAATTGAAAATTATTATATTAAAAAATACTTGGGGCACAATAAATATTTCATAAAACAAAAAGACAGTGGCCATAAAAATATTTAAACAATTCACTATAAATTATTATACATTAACCAAAATTAAAATAGTGTTCTGGTAATCAGTGTATGACAACATCTTAATGTTGAACATTTTTGTATTAATTTTTTAAAAATCACTGTAAACTTGCACGATGTGCTTAACCAGACAAACAATGGTGCACACAAAAATGAATGTAACATTAATTTTTGTATCAAGATTCACTGGGAGATATTGAAATTCAATCACACTAACAAGTCGACGGAACTCAGCAAAATGTGTTAAATAAATTTTAATGAAATGGAATCATCATTTCTTTAACATTCCTTGATAAACCGAGTATCATTGCACCATCCGGCACATTTTCTACAAACAATTTCTGATTAAGAGCAACTTTTTTTAAAAAAGCAGAATTACAATAGCAATTAGAATAAAACTCTTTATAGACGTGCTAAGAGTTTGACACAATGTCGAAACCCAAATGCAGTTCCTTCAATGAATTAAATATTTTCCCATTTAAATGGGCGAGCTGTGAAAAAAGATGTATCCCTTCCGTTGTCTCTACATCAGCTGAAGCCACAGAAACTTTTATCTTCTTCTGACAGAGCCAAGGTTCAGCTACTGGCCACTTAAGGTTTAAATGGTGTCTGTGGATCTGAGGAATTTAAAAATTTATTATCACCTTTTATAACTTAAATAAAAATATGATGCATTTCTGTTATGTTTATAAAATGAGTGTAAAGGATAATATCCTTTTCCTGCACATGGCTGAATTAAAAAGTGTGTCTTTTACAGTAGTTAACTTTTGCTACACTGTTAGGGAACAAAAATTGCAGACAGAATCGAAGCGGTACCGGTACTAAAAAAAAAAAAAGCAAGGATTTTTAAAGATTATTTTTAACCCCACTGTCAAGGGTATGAGAATCACTGTTGTGATATTTGAGATTACAGTAAAATGATGTTCACCCGAAATAGTGCAAGCATGAGTGAACAAGGCGTGAGGTTGTAAATGATGGGCAAGAGAGTATAGATAGAGAGCGTTGTGTGATAGACGGGAGAGCTGTCATAGTCGGAAGAATTGTAATATATTCACGGTGACGAGAGTTGTGTGTTTCTGAGTCTGTCTGTCGTATTGTGAAGTAGTGATTATTTCTGTGTATTTATTTATTTATTTATTTAGGCATTTTTATATAGCGCTTACCTTAAAGCTCTAAGCGCTTTACAATTATTAAAAACATGTAAAATTAGTAAAATAAAAATGAAAAACCAGAGGCACTAGGATAGTAACTACTATACTATAGAAACAATTAAAATGGCTATAAAACGAGTACACTTTGGCGCGTTTTGGCCTATACTACAGGATCAACCCGAGACAGAAAATGAGGCAGGGCAAGGAGGATGCATCACAGGTCATAGGCGGACCTGTGATGCTTACTTAAATGATCACTCTCTTCTCAGTTCTAATCAGTCGGCCTATAGACATTTCCATAGCACGGAGACAGCTCTCTTGAGAGTCAGTAATGACCTCTTGCGCGCAATGGACAGCGGTAATGTCTCCATTTTGATCCTCTTAGACCTCAGTGCGGCCTTTGACACTGTTGACCATGAAATCCTCTTCAAAACCCTTGAAAACTACTTTGGAATTTCTGGTTCGGTTTTGGCTTGGTTTAGGTCCTACCTCTCTGATAGAACGCAAATGGTCTCTGTCGATGGCTGTCTCTCCGGCAGTGCTGATTTGGTGTACGGAGTGCCACAGGGGTCCGTTTTGGGTCCGGTTCTATTCATAATGTATACCAGACCACTACTCCTCTTGCTCGGGAGGCATGCTGTTGAGAACCAGTCATTTGCAGATGATACACAGCTATACATGCATACCCATCCATCTCTTGTCGATTCCGCTGTCCAGACTTTGCGGGGGTGCATTGATGATGTCAAGTCTTGGATGACACTCAGCAAGTTGAAGCTTAATGATGACAAAACAGAAGCACTCCTCATTTACAATCACAAATCATCCTCTACCTCAACTCTTCCCACCTCATTTCAAGTAGGTAACTCCGACATACAGTTTACACCCTCTGCTAGGAATCTTGGTTATATTCTTTCTAACAACATGTCTCTCGATAAACATATCTCTCACATTTGTCGTTCGGCATACACCGCCATCCGTCAGATCAGCTCCATCCGCCACTACCTGACAGTTAGCGCAACAAAAACTCTAGTCTGTGCTCTTGTTCTCTCTCGTCTTGACTATTGCAACTCACTTCTGTCAGGTTCACCGAAACATTTTATAGAAAAACTGCAGAAAGTTCAAAACTCTGCTGCTAGGCTTGTTCTTAAGGCAAAAAAACATGATCACGTCACTCCACTACTCCACTCACTACATTGGCTCCCTATACAGGCACGCATTGACTACAAGCTGTCTCTTCTCTGTCACAACTTTTTCTCGGATTCCTGCCCTTCCTATCTAACTGAACTTCTTTCTGTCTATTCACCCCTTCGACAACTTCGCTCCTCCGCAGACTCGCGTATTCTGTCCGTTCCCAAGACACGCACTAAATTATATGGTGAACGATCTTTCTCTTTCTGCGCCCCCAAACAATGGAATTCTTTGCCACTACACATCCGCAATATAACAACCACACATGCCTTCAAAACAGCACTCAAAACACATCTATTTAAACTATACTACTCTGACTGATTCTCCTCCTATAAACCGATAAACGTACATGGGTTTCCTTGTAAAAATGTCTGGCGTGGATGGATGAATATACCTATGGTGTTGTTTTGCTTATATGTTGTTTTTATTTCATTTATGTATTTCATTTTAATATTATGATTATGCCTCTTTGCTATATATGTACAGCGCGGTGAGCCCAGCCCTATGCCGGGGTACCGCGCTATATAAGACCACTTATTATTATTATTATTATTTTAAGGGACCTTTTTAAAAGTGGACGAGGTTTCACAATGATGGATGTGGAAGGGGAGCTGGTTCCAGAACGTGGGCGCATGGAAGTAGAAGAAGCGTTCACCGATGGTCTTAGTTTTGGCCCTTGGATTTGGAGGTGATGCTACATGACCATTCAATATGAAGGACGTTAATAAGCTTATATTATTGTATGATGGAGTCAGAGCTGTAGTGCATAGGACTAACATATACCATAAGTTGCATAGTCAGAGGAGCTTGGAGAGACCATACCTGTGTTCTGACAGTAAGAGTAGATAGTCAACCCTGAGCTCTACAGTTTGTCACCCACCAAAATTAAAGAAAAATCTTACAAGTTAATACAAGGCCCTAATATTCACATGGAGATGGGAGTTATAAAGTGTAATTAATTGTTGATTATAATTTAAGTTCTAAATTTATACTCTGAAAGGAACCAATGAACCTTGTACAGCGCTCCATTACTACAGTGCCAAACAATTCCTTCCACTTGAGCATCAGGAGCCTCACTAGCAAACCATTCTATCATGGTGTCATAGTTTGAGGGTTGTGGACATTGAAGTGACAAGCTGCCATGAGGGACCAAAACATGAACTGGACATTGTTTTGTCCCTAGATCTGTGGATATTAACAAATGTTAAACTTTAAAAAAAAACAATTGAAATATTGATAAATGGAGGGAAAAAAATATAATTTACAATATAAGACAACTAGAAATATTTGTATGGTTCACTAAAGTTATTAGTATCATTAATAAAGATGTAATGAACTTTTGGTTTAGAGCCACATGGCATTTGATTAACTGTTCTTATTCTTATATTTGAGGGGTCCACGATCAATTTGTTGATCATGTCCTATTGAAGTTAAAGCATGGGACAACCTAAAGCCATTAATATAAAATAGGTCAATGTGATAAAAGCTAAAGTGAAGTTAAAAACTGAATTATAACATTTTTGTATTGATTATTTAAACATGTTAAAAATTTTTTTTTTACAAACTATCCATCCAAATAGTTGTACGGTATGTATATCTATAATCAACTGGATTTTAAAACCCTTTTTGTCAAACCCTGATAATCTGAAAAAATTTCTAGTGACATCATTAGTTATGTAGAGATGAGGTCAATAAAAAAAAAAAATATGGCACCCACTATAAGGGTTTCCATTGATGTTGGTGCCAATAAGTTCACAGGTCTGACCACACAGTTGTGATAAGGGCTGGGACTCCAATACTAAACTTCCAGCATCACCCTGAGCTTCTCTAAATAAAGAATATGGAATTTGTAATAATGCCTAACAGGTGAATGTGAATTATGGTGCAGCCCTGAACTAAAGCAGGTGGTTGAGTTTGAGCAAACTATTCTGCATTAATTCAAAGGTCTAGATTTAAAAAAAAACTCATTTGAATTATCTTGAAGACTTGAATTCATTAGAATCAAAATGATATAAATGTGTATGTTTTTTGAGGCTTCATTTATTTGAAAAATTTAAATAAATATATATATTTCTCTTAATTAAAAAAGGAGAAATGACCTCACGATAAGCGCTAAACTTTGTTTGAAATCCACTGCAGACAAATGCCAACACTGCTGGCGACAGTTTTGCTGAACAGGCACCCACCCTGGTAAAAAAACACACAAGAATATTCTTTATGGAAGTCTCAAAGTCAAAAGAATTTCATGAAAGACAACAAAAAATAATAAAAATACATTAATACGATAGCAATTATTTTCACATTAAAACAAACTGTGGTTCACAATATTTTTCAATTCCTTGATTCCTTAAATCATTTTTGAATAATTACTGGCTCACATCCCACATTGGTTCCACCATAGGGTGTACAGGTACATAAAAAAAAATTGAGATTATTAGAACATAATTTTTTTTAACTATTAAATTTATAAAGACAAGAAAAAAAGCAACAAAAACAATAAATAAGGGCATGAGGTGCCAAAGAAAAGGTAAGAAGAAATTATGGGTTTTTTTTTTAAGGTTGATTTTTATTTAAATCATCTTAGACCAAAAAATGCTACATAATTCCAAGCAGTCTGAGCAGAGAGAACCACAATTATCTAGACAGGGCAAAAATGTTTTGCAAAAATATTTTCTAAAACTGCAGAGATTCTGTAGCCTGTAGAGAAATATTGTTGGCTTTGGGCAGTCTTATTTGCTCAGCTAGACAGTACAAAACCTTGTAACTTGTATAGCGGATATTTTAATAATCTTGTATGAATTTACATATTTGAACTTGGTTGAAGGAACAAGATAAAGTGCACATGCACCTGTCACATACCTGGAGTATGGCCAATATTATCAGGCAAAACAAAACCATCTTTTATTTCAAGTCGACTGGCTGGTACCCAATTGGGGGGAGGTTCCTAGGATAAAAAAAAAGAGTAAAAAGATGCTTTTTAAAAATTATCCATCTATTCATCAACAACTTAAGCTTTAAAAGCTGCATGAAAATTGACATCACCAATTGATAAAATATAATAAAAGGTAAATTGAAAAGAAATTGTAAAAGGAATCAAGTAAAATACCATGAAAGCACATAAGGATTAACAACCATTAAATTTGTATATTAAAGTTAAAGCTTACTTACATACAATGATTTACACACAAAATGTTGAGCCTAAGTTAAGTTTTGTTTTTGTGTCAGTGAGACCTAACATTTAGCTCTGGATAATGTCTGTCATTGTTACATTTCTTTTTAAGAAGACAAATATTTAATGTAATAACCTAAAACTTCTTTAGGAGCTAAGTAAAGAATGAAATTATATCTAATTTTTCACTCTACCTGTATCAGTATGTCAAGTTTATAAATATTATTGCAAATCCTTTTTGTGTGCATATGAACATATCCATCTTAATTTATTGATAATAATGTCTTTAAAATGTATTCCAGGACTAATTTATAAATGACTGATCTGTGTTGTTTTAATTCACAAAAATTAAGTGAAGACTAAATGATTCTATGGAGGATAAATCTATGAATCTTAATAAAGTTTGTATTGAAATTAGAAAATGGGACATGCCATTATTTAGAAAAGTTATCATTGTCTGCATTTATATCCCTGGTAATACACTGGTAACATATGTAATATTATTCAAGTTTTATCACAAAGAGAATTGCCTTGAAGTCTTTGGCTGGATTCCAGGAAAATCCCTGAGAAATGTTTTCTCCATTTTGGTTTGACTTCAAATGAGATTTCTTGAATAGTGCGAATCTTCGTTCACCAGTTTTGCTGGGCTTACGATCATGTCTAGCCCATAACCATGGCCTTCCTAAAATAAAGTTAAGAAACATCAAATCAGAGATACACAGATTAATCACTAGATAACCAATAATGCAAAATTCCTCTTGCTCATTATTTGTTATAAGGCAAATTGGTCACAATTGAATTAAATTTTCATATACATATATTTTAGTGTATTTGGACGTGATCTAACAATTTTTTAGTAAGTTCCATGTATTAAATTTTTTTTATAACATTGATTAACGAATTAATAATATGCCACTCTATTTGATAGTGCTAAATAGCTTTATTTTTCTGGTTTCAGATAAATATAGCAACACAAAAGTAAATACCTGGTAAAAAATTAGAGATATTAATTAATTATTTTTTCAGCAAATTGCTACGATTATTGGTTTTTATAATGCATTCCCAACTGTTCCGCAAAGCAAGCTCAAATAGACATATTTAACAAAGTCCTAAGTAACAGTTGAAATCTGTGTTTACAATTGTCAAATTAACTCTCTTCCTTGTTACATTTTGATACCAGACTTTGGCACCAGTACCTGATTTTCCTGAAGGGTGCAGTAGTTACTTGTGCTGGAAAACTTATATTTATTACCTGTTACCAGAGTGAAAAAAATCTGATCTGCAAACTTGTTATAACATATACAAAGAATGTGCTGGAAAACTTATATTTATTACCTGTTACCAGAGTGAAAAAATCTGATCTGCAAACTTGTTATAATATACATATCAAGAATATATATTAAAGTGAAAATGTGTTTGTTAGTTTGTTTTGCATATGTTTCCATATGGATTTGACTAAAGTTGGCACATACATCTAACATTATCCAGAATCAAATACTGGGGGTTTTGAACTTTTTAGCATGGTAGCAATACCCTTCATAGTCCCTATTGAAATATCGGTGGATTTAAAATTAATAATATCCAATCCATTCAGGGCCGATTTAGAATGTTCCAGAATGTTCAATAATTAAAAATTCTGGCATTTTTAAAACTATTCTAATGGAAAAGCTTTTAAATTTTAACTTTATTATTTATTTGAATGATTTTGGTAGGGCTCCCTATCTCAGGAAAAACTAAAACGGTACACTTATTTAATGGGCTTCCTTGAAAAATCTAAAACAAAACCAAAATCAAATAGAATTAATTTTCAGAATTGATTTTGATGCTGGACATTGCTTTATTCATTCAACATAATGAAACATCTATGAAATTCAATTGCATCAATCAGGCAACTAATCTGACATAGGCAATTAATCACAAATCTGTTACAACTAACAGGAATTTTAATTATCATTTATATCTCGTAGCAAAGTTTTACACAAAGTTTTCAGATAAAAGTCATATTGTTGTGAATAATGTTGATCCTAAGCCTAATGAGCAATAAGGAGTAGCAAAAAAACGTCTTTTTTAAATGTGAAATCAAAATACCTTGAAATTCTTGTATCAGACAACAAGTTCCATCAAGTTTTTCAGTTGATCTGGCAGCAGAAATATCATCTCTCTCTGCCTGCTCTGTTATAGCCCTCAATGCTGACACTTTATATGTTTGATTGCCCCTCTTGTTGGAGGATTCATCTGTGACACCTATTTCAAAAGCACATGAAATCTTTTGTTGAACTGGATTCATGATGGTTCTATCTTTGCACCTGAAATGAATTTTCATGAATCAGTCAATGAAATGACAATAAAAAATGATTTAAGAAGTAGAAGGGTCTTCTTATTGTCCATAGTCATAGTCATAGCCTTGAAAACATGACTTTTTTCTATTATATTAAATGAAGAAGAACAAAAAATTATATCTGACCGACATACTACATGTACTGTTATACCCAACACTGTCACAGATAAACTTAAACTCATACAAATCTTCATGAACTATTAACACTATTAACAGAAGCTAAAGATTAGCCAGGTATGAGCATGATACATTAACTCCTTACACTCCTTGAATTTTGCATGTTTTTCTTGAGATTTCTAGTGACCTTTCAAAAGAGTAATAACTTTTAGGATCCATGTCTAAAATTCATTATGTTATTTGTTTGGAAATGCATGAAGTTTATAAAAAATTTGTTTTTAAACATATATTGTCTACATTTAGAAGTTGTGAAAAAAATAACGCTGTTTTTAATGAAAATGTGTACAAAAAAATGTGGTCGTCAGATGCAAAGAAGGCAAAAAATAAATTACCTGAAATTATTTAATAAAATCTGTTTATGTAGAAAGAAAATTTATTTTTCTATGTCATATGCATGATTTATAACATTTCATGAGCATTTGACCAAATTATAAATTATGATGTAAAATGTGTCAAAAAGGGGAAATAATACAAATTTTAAAAATTCACCGCCCCTCCACAAAGTATTCACAAAAACTAGTATAATTTTACCTTTTTAAAAATTATTTACACATTAAAAAAAATTAATATAGAATATAAACTTACTGGTACCGTTACTTAGAAAGTTTTTGTTTTTTTTAACAAAAGTAAGTTTACCATATGCTACTTGTGATTTAGGATTTTATTTTCTTAACATTCCTAATTTATAGCACACTGTCAAATGTCATTTAAAATCTATGCATTCAGGAACTATTGCATGTATTATATTGTATTTTTTGTTATTTATATTTGCGGCACTAGGAACATCATCACTTTTAGTAAATCATCTAATGCTAAAATAATTTCCTCGGTGAAGTCAATTGAGAGTTAAATGTTAGGCAGCTTCAGTTCATCTATATCATAGTTTTCTTTTGAATAATCCTGAAGAGATTATAGCTGGCAATGTCAATAAATAGAAAAAAGGGTTTGTCCAGTTCTATTTACTTAGGGTGATATATCAATGTATCAACAGGTCAACACCACACATGAATGAATTGTATGATTTCAAAATCTGATTTGACTATAAATGGTTTTCTCACCAATAATTGCCTAAAATACACCCTCAGTTTTGGTTCTGTTCACATAAGAAAATCCATTTGCTGTTATATTTTTTGAAATAAGTGAGACTGTTCAATTGTCTCTCCACTGAACATTATATAAATCACAGTATCTCTTAAAGACCACATCATATCACACATTGTTTTGGTTTTTATCTTTATTTTCTTCTGATAAAATCTGACAAGTTCACTTTGCACAGTTTGTCCTCATAGTCTGTTTCATTATTAGAAACTTTGAAAAATGTCTTATTTGAATAAATCTGTTTTTGGGAATAAGGCATTAGCCCTAAATACATGGTAGTAATGAAAGATTGTTGAAGTTGACTAGTATTTTTGTACACCCAGGACTTGAACAGTTGTCATGCATATTATTAGTGGTCCTAGAAATTTGTAAAATTGTTATATTGTTGAAATATCAACAAACCACAGTTGATGGAAGGTTTAGAAGGTCCCGTGTTAGTTGAATAAGTGTATTTTTCAACCAAATACAGTGTGAAAAAATCTTGAAAATCCTTTAGGCTTTAGAATGAATATACGGCTCATTGTATCCATGTTATGTTGACATATCTTCCCAAAAATGTCAGCCTGGCTCTCTGGCTGGGGGAATCTTAGGAGTGGGAACCAGTGGGTAATCATCTTGGTGGATCATCATGTCGAACATCATACAAGTTTAGCCTGTGAATGTAAAAGAAGAACTAATATTATAGACCTATATGCAACTATTAGGGATGCAATGAATATAAAATATATACTTCATAAGGAGATTTCTCGTTTTTAATACTTTTAATAGAACAAACATAGATATCGAATTTCATGTCCTTTAGGATAAAATATATCATAATAAAATGTGTCGACTGCATTGCTTACATTCCTTAGCAACAGTTTCTAAGAATAAGCTCTTCTAAAATTATCTAAGTAATAAAATATTCACAAATTATACAATTATTTTATTTACTTAAATTCATTTAAAAATGGCTAGTAAATATTTCAATTGTGATCAAAAACACAATTTAAACCGATAAAATAAAAAAAGAAGTAAAAAATCTAAAAAAATATAGAATGACGAAACACTTGATTACAAACCTTCTAGTTTTAGCGACTATAATGGGCTATAAAGGAAGATTCTCAGCATAATCTGGATCAGAATCCCTACATTCAGGTTCCCAACTATCTTCCCCAGAAGATTCAGATATAACTGAATCAATATTTTCGTCAGTATTTTTCTTTATTTAAGATTTTGTGCTGCCAAGTTGACAAGCGCCTTGTACAAATTTTCCTAAGATGGGGACTAACGCTTCGGCATGTCACATGAACCTCGATCTCACAAAAAAAAAACATCAATATTATTTAAAATAATTAATTTTTATTTTTTAAATATATTTTTCTTCCAAATGTGCGATAAAATAAATATAGAACACTTAACAAAATAAAAGAAGACAACATTTTAATTTTATGAAAGAGTGAAAATAACCGACATATAATATAATAGTATAATAGTTAGTATATACTTATAACTTATACGCCCTCTATATAAGAGGAATACAAAGAGTTACATTTGTTATATTTAATGACTTTAAATTTCAAAGAAATGTGAGGAATCCTGCAAAGGGCCTGGGCACTGAAACTGAAATGTTTTATTTTATTTTTTCAAACAGTGAAAAGTAAGCCTGAAGGTGTCTATAGTCTATAACTATAAATATAATGAGTAATAAGTAAAATATAAGTATAATTTTATTTTTATTAATAAGCTAAAGTATCCTCCAGTAATCAGTCAGTATCATTCATTATCATTATAATTATTAATGATTCTGATTATCATCACTCACTCAATAAACTAAACTTTCTAATAAACTAAAACTAAAATCACTTGCCTGACCTGCTCTTAACTCTTAACTATTTATTAGTCTCACTCAGACTCAACGCACTAAAGTCATTATTACTAATTCAAGAATACCTGTACTTTTTCTTTGTATCACCGGTCCCTCCTTTTCTGTAAATAGAATATATGCCCTATAAAATATTTTTTTTTAAAATGTTTCTCTTACTATTTAATTTTAAATTTAATGTAATTGCCAACTGTACAGTGCTTTGCACCATGATGGCAAGGGGAACTAATTCACAATAACTGAACTAAGTGGTTTATGTAAACTTATGCACATTATTTATTTTCACCTGCCATGTGGATGACGCACGTTCAATGCCCGATCAAAGAAACCAATTTCCAATCCCCTTTTATATTTACAATGTGTTTGTTAGTCAATTAAAATAAAAGAGACTAGTATTTTTATTTTCATCGTACTTCACAACAAAACTAAGAAAAATGCAAATTTAACTGGTTTAAAACGCTGGGTTCTTAAGTTTATAGCCGCTGTAAACATAGCAATCCTATAAAACAATTCACTTTCTAATACATGATAATTAAATTACAAATATTGAAGGCTTCAATAAAAATATTGAGGAATCTACTAAATTTATATAATATAAATAATTATTAAAAACAAAAAATCTTTTCACAGTTAGATTTGCTAACTTTAAAAAAAAGATATATTAATTTAAACATTAGGCTTAGTCAATATTTGTGTTAAAAAACCTGGTCTACTATTAATGATTTCCCTTAGCCTTAACCAAAACAATAAACGAAAACATTTATGTGCTTCATAGCTTATGAGTATATATTGAAAAATAATAAGGTAAAAGTTAATGTATGTAACTTTATTTTAGTGAACAATTGTAGATTATGTCTCAATACAGAAATTCCTACATAATTATAATTAACATCTTCCTGATAATGTAACTATGTCACTATGTCAATTATGTTTTCAGTGGCCCAGTCATTGACTGATTCAGTGCGACTCTCTACTCTGTAGACGTAGTCTATAGTGACTGTAGCTTGTCTTTGAACTTGAGGATTGGGCCTACAACCTAATGTCAACATTAATTAGGATATAGACTCATTAATCATCCTTGTATATTTGAAAAGTAAGGAAGAATATTTTACAGTATATTTGAAATACTTATTTGAAGTAGAGGCACCAGAGGCTGGAGTATTTCTGCAGACTCAGACTGCATGTCCTTTTCAAAATCCTTTTTTTTCCCATTTTTTTTTTTTTTTTTTTTGTGGTGACCAGGGAATTTAGTGAAGGTGAAAAGTTTTGAAATTTTGAAAAGGTTGGGAAACCCTTTTGTAAGCCTATTACTATTATTATTAATTTTTATTTTTTATAGTTTTTTTTTTTTTCTTTTTTTTTTTTTTTTTTTTTTTGTGGTGACCAGTGAATTCAGTGAAGGTGAAAAGTTTTGAAATTTTGAAAAGGTTGGGAAAACCTTTTGTAAGCCTATTACTATTATTATTAATATTTCTAAATTCTAAATAATATTTGGTTAGGGCTTACTAATTTAGATTTTAATTATAAATTTCATTAAAAAGAAACATTTTAACATAAATGATGAAGGAAGAATGAAAATAAAATTGTAGATTGAGTGAAGTCTAAGTAATTCACTTTTCCAAAAATCTGTAAAATGAAATAGAAACATCATCACTACACTCAATAAATTATATTAAATATCTAACATTATTATTAACTAATCTAATGCATGCAATTACTAAAGTTAAAATATTTTTTTCTTGATTTTCTAGGAAGAAACATTGAAATTTTGACTATTTGAAGCAGCAGTTCAAAAAGAATGGCAGCAGTTGATGAAAAAGTGACTAAAGATGCATGGATGAAACAGCTGATGAATCAACATGTGGGCAGAGCAGATATGAATAAATTAATTATGAATTACCTTGTGACAGGTGACATTAATTTAAATTATGTGCATAATTCTTACATCTTGTATTTCTATTTCCTTTTAATAAATTTTATATCTTTATATAAATTGTTTTAAAAGTAAATCATTTGTATATAAATAAACTTTCTTATTTTAAAATAAATTTTATATTTTTTCATAAATAATTCAACTCCTCTCTAACTTTTGTTCACATGCATTCCTCATTTTCCCAAAAATCATGTCCAGTGAACAATTTCAAGTTAAAGACAACATTTTAAGATTTGTGCATGAAATTTTTTTTTTTAAATATGACATTAAACTGGCTCACTTTTTATTAACTGCTTAAATTTCAACAGAGGGTTTCAAAGAGGCTGCTGAAAAGTTTAGTGCAGAGTCAGGAGTCACACCTTCAGTTAACTTAGACAGTCTGGATGACAGGATTCGCATTCGCCAGGCAATCTTGGATGGTAGAATAACAGAGGCCATTGGAATTATTAATTCACTCTATCCAGAACTACTAGATAATGATCGTTATTTATATTTTAGATTACAGGTAAAACAATTTCTTACTTTGGTGTGTCTCATGTTTTTTTTTAAATGCTTTTAAATAGTAAAAAAAATTCTGCCACAATGTACAATTTTGGATGTTCTTGAATTATTGATATGTATAGATATTATGGAAAAAAACATTTGTCATTTCCTTATTTAATGACCTTGTGTCCTCAAATCTATTAACTGTGCTTCACTTCAAATGAATATATATACAAGGTTGTTCATATTTTCATTGCCAGCAACAACAACTGATTGAACTTATCAAGAATAAAGAACTGGAAAAAGCTTTAACTTATGCACAGAACAGGCTGTCTGAGAGAGTTGAAGAGAATCCAAATGTACTACCAGAGCTTGAGAAAACTCTTGCATTACTTGCCTTTGACAATCCTGAATCGTCCCCCTTTGGTGAACTACTGCATCCTTCTCAGAGACAAAAGGTACCATGGGCTTTCCAGTTTACATGAACAGCTAGTTAAATACTTTCTCCCCTCACATATTTAGAAAAAAATAATTGTGTAAGTTTTAACAAATCTACTGCTAAACATGAGCTAATTGCAACTTTTATAAAAGTTACTTTAAAACTCTTTAACTAGGTGGCAAGTGAGGTGAATGCAGCTATTTTAGAAACAGACTCAACCCCTCGGCTGGCTAACCTTCTGAAACTGTTGTTGTGGGCACAAGAAGAATTAGATAAGAGAAAGGTAACAAAAATATTAAAATTGAATACTTGAAATTATTTTTTTCAAAATTCTTGTAGGTACTCAACATAGTTGTGTAATTTTATTCATAAGAGCCTGCACATGGAGTAATAGCTTTTTAAGAAGTCCTGTGGCAACAAATTTAACTTCCAATCATAACTTTGAGGAGACTAAAGAAAAATGTACAGAAAAAAATTATTGAAAGATATCGCTTATATCCATAGAGCGCTTTCAAACAATGATTTGGAACATTTTTTTTGTGTGTTTTAAATTAAATATTTGCTAATGCACATTATGCATATTTTTTATCATATTTATTTTGTTCTATCCTAAAGGTGCCTTTTCCTCATATGACAAATGTAGCTGAAGGCAGTATTGATGATCCATAAACTGCAGTGTTGAATAAGTTCACCATATCAGTTTTTTTCTTCCTAATACCATTTTTTAAAAGTTAATTCCGAATAAGGGGCCATCCACCAACCCCCCTGTTGCATGCATACTTTCTTTTGGACACACCCCACCAATGCATACTTACAAGAAGCTTTCGGAGCCCCCCTTAAAAAAAAAAACACCAATGAAATCAAATAATTATATATACTTATGACATCACAAAAATTTGTAAAAAATATGTCACAGGTTTACACCGCTGACTCTTTAGCCAGCTCAGTGGTTCCCACAATATACACTAAGTCATGCTGAGTGCTACGTTGCCCTGTGGCAGAGCCATAAGATTTTGGCAAAGAGAGAGTCTTTTGGCAGGACCTTAGTAGTGAATTAAGATATAATATCCCATATACTTAAATAAGATATAGGTCTGCCCGGGAAGGCACTTTTTTCCATATATTAAGTGTGGAACCATTCATTTTCCAGCTGTGCCCCTGAGTTCCAGTTTTCCTTGGCATGTATGTCCCTGTCCTTGTTTGCCTCGACTTCCTCAAGGGCAATCTCCACCCTCAGTGCTATATACTATATGGATGGCCCCTAATGAGAGAATTGTAATAATTTTTTTTAATTACAATGATTATACCATAAATTCCAAGGTTTTAAAATATTTTTAAAAAAGGATTTTTCCATCATTAGAATTACAAGTTACAAGTGAATTTTTTCTTTTTGGTATTTTTGTTGTTAAAAGCTTATTATCTCCCATCTAGAGATTCCTAATCCTTTAAAAATAAAATTCAAACATCAAAATTTATTATCAGTCTAGATAAGAATCATTATATGATCCACTTAAGAATAAAGAATGCTATTATTATAATAATATAAAAGAATTATTGCCAGGGTGCTGAAGTGGTTGGGTGTGAAATAAGCAAATAGAGTTAAAAATTATTGGTGACTGGATTATGAACAGATTGCTGGTTTCAATGTTTTGGTGTTTGAGTAACTTGATGTTTTAAGTACATTTGTCTTTAAATAAATGCATATTTAAATAATTGGATGTTTAAATGAATGAGTGTTTAAATAATTGGATGTCTTAATGAATGCTGTTTAAAATCAAAGAAAGAGTATTTAAATTAGTGAATCTTTATCTGAATGTGTCTGGATCTGATTCTTCACTGACTGAATGATGAATGAACAGGAGTTTAAATACTATATAATAATATATGACAGATGAAAAAACATAATTCTGAAGTCACAAAAATATTTCTAAATCAATCTTCATAGCTGCAAACTGCTGTGTATGTCATATTTACAGCAATGAAAGACTATCATATCACACCACTGTTTCTTAAATCATCTTTATCTGGTATGATGTCATCTTTATACTTGTCTTGTGTGACTAAAACTCTCTCAACTTTGATCAACATCGTTACACCAAGAACTGAGATAAATCTTCTAAACCAGGAGTGGGCAAACTAAGCCCCGCGGCGCGGCAACTGACATTATGTAGCCCTCGAAGGCATTTAGAAATTTTTTTTTTAAATTATTTTTTTATTTTTGTTGAATTTTACAGAATTTCATTTACCGATATTATTATTTTAAAATTTTTTGATCTGCTTTCTTTCTAACTTTCTATTTTTCTAAACAGTCCATGACTTTTGTCATGCAATGCTAAAATGCGAATTTACCAATTTTTAATAAAGAGAAATGTTTATCGACATGTAAAAATTGGACATAATATACATGTGGCCCCCCCAATAGCTTTACGTTTGTCAATGTGGCCCTCGCACAAGTTTGCCCACTCCTGTTTTAAACAATCAAATTTTCCTCATGTGGATTTTAGTTCAGCTGATCTTTCAGTTAGAAATTGTTTAAAATTGAGCAATTTCTTTCTGTTTCCTGACTTGTATTCATTTATAGATAGAGGATGTGGTTTTTAAATAAAATGACTTCATAAACAAATTACTTTAAATTCCTGATTTATATTAATTATCAATGCCTTTTTTAAGCTGTTGAAGATTTCATTGTTAAAGATAATATACTTTTACAGGCTCTTATTCTTCTGTAAATATTTTTGTCTCATCTCTTGGCATTATAATAGTATGAATTGTTAAATTGTCCTGTACAAAATATGATTTTTAAAGCCTGTCTTATTCCCTACTTGCGCATTTTGTTTCTTTACTGAGGAAACTTTCTGTCATTTCAAATAAAAGTTGAGTAACTTGTAATTTGGGTCATTCTTTAAATGCTCTATATTTTGAGTGCATGGTGGTTGTGTTGTCTCCCAGAAGTGTGAGAAGGGCATTGTCCTGTTACTATTTTTAATATGACAACGGACTTAAAATTGTGTCTGGACTACTTCTTGCAGACAAGGATTCTTTTCAAGAGGAAACATGTTTGCAGACTTAAAATTAAATTTAGGCTTAAAAGTAAAAATTCCTCATCATTATCATTGGTACCACAAGTGGAGCCCGTGCACCACTACATCCTTCGATTTTGATGGATATTGCCTTTGTCTTCACACACACACAACCTCAGCTGATGCAAACCAGATCCTATAATATTTATCCACCTCAGTCTTTGTCTAGGGATGGATGAGCAGTCTGGACCTTTGAAAAAGTATATTCTTTTTAAAAAATAATCATTACCACGAGATAATTTAAAACTATTCTCTGAATATCAGCAGATATTGTTAAAAGATAAATATTTGTTGCTAGATTTTAGCCTCCATTAAATTTGTATTTGATTTAATCTATGCCTTGTCCTACAACATGAAGGGTACACTGTTACATTGTATGTAAATACATTCTACCTTGAAAATAATTTTAAGGAATTTGACCAGTGGGGTATGGATAGCTACTTTCAAGGGGTGTGGTACTTTTGTCACTGTGTGACCAGTGTGGTAGGACAGCTACTTTAAAGGGGTGTGGTGCTTTTGTCACTGTGTGACCAGTGTGGTAGGACAGCTACTTTAAAGGGATGTGGTACTTTTGTCACTGTGTGATCAGTGTGGTAGGACAGCTACTTTAAAGGGGTGTGGTACTTTAGTCACTGTGTGACCAGTGTGGTATTGATAGCTGATTATTTTCATTGGTACAAGTTGTGTTTTTTTAAACCAAACTTTTGTGAATGTTGATAAGTGACTGGAAGCTATATTTATCTAAATTCTGAGAAATAAATCTTTCCATGGATACCAAATACGATGTGGTCGGGGAAATTTGTTCATGAATCGAATCGGTAAAAATTTAAAAAATAATAATAGAGTTTTTACCCTTTTATAGGGTAGGCTAAAGAAAATAATATCTTACAAAACTTTCTAATATCTTTTAATAGGTAATCAATTTCAATTTATTTTTAAATTTTTTGGAAACCAAATATATCGAAACCCAGAAATGGCCAAAAATGAATATTTTCGCTGATTTGTCACAAGCCCGCCCTTTAACATTTAACCACAATTGACAGGTTTGCAGTTTTGAAGACCAGGAAAGGAAAGTTTTAAATAACTTAAATGTATTATAAAAAATATCTTTAACATAACGTTGTTACAGTTCTTAGATACATTTACCTCAATTAATTTGTTTTGTTCTTGTCATTGTTTTACTGTAGACAAATCTTTTTTAACAAGAAGAAATCCATCGTGGAAGCGGGGTGGGGGGGGGGGTGATGACACCATGAATTGACCGCACCGGGTGACACCAACCCTAGCTACGCCACTGACTACAATAGTTATCGGTCCCGGTAAAAGTGTAAAGGGAAAAAAAAACACTTCCATGTTTTTTTTAATACACAATTTATAGATGCTACAAACAATACTATTTTTTTTTAATAATAATTTCGGAACTGATCTATCAAATCACCGACAAACGAACCAGAATCTGTCGTATGCTCTACAAACACGCAACAATTCGCATCCGCTTTGAATATTACTATTAGAGAAATCATTTCAAGCTTAAGTTACGCGATTACAAAACCAGTAACAACGGGGAATACCTTGTGGGAAAGTAAAACTCGTACTTAAGAATGTCAGGGCAAGTAAAGACTTGGGACCCCAATACCATCACTTTCCCCATATAGTCAAGCGTAACAGCTTAAGATATTTTTACTGGTTTTCACAGTGGCATTTTTTTTTTCAAAAAGCAGCGGTGAAATACATTTTCTTCTGTAAGTATTTTTCCCTCCACCCTTGATATGTTGAGAACCCAGACTAAATTCGTATGACTATAAAAAGACAATCAATCCCCCATATTTCGGGGGTGACACCAAAAATTCGGAAAGTCATCATTCTATGCTGGGACAAAATTTGTGGGTGCGGAAATGGTGCTTCTGCGCTCTTTGTGTTCGTCTTGTTAGACGCGACTGTGGATATACAGGAAACGACAAAGTTATTTGGACTGAAAAGTTGAAAGTGACACACGAGTTAAAAAGCCACTATTGGTGGTCCATTAACGAGGTAGGCCTATCAAGTTTTTGCCATCACGTTGTTTGTTGTGTGGCGTGTTTTTCTTTACCTCTGTCCCCTGGCCTTATTTCCAAAAAAAATATATGTAAAAAAGTGACTTATTAATAATGGTGTTACAAGCGTCAAATAAACGATTAACCATCCCCTGAAGATTTTCTTCTGTGTGAGATGTTATGGCGGCATCGTCAGCGAACAGCAGTTCAAGAGTCAGCTCCTTTTTTACTTTGGTCTTTGCACGAAGTTGAGCATGTCACATACCTGGGATCCAATATTTCTAGTTCTCTCTCCGTTGATGAAGAGATAAATATCAGGATCGCAAATGCAGCAGCAACTATGGCTAAACTGAATAAGCGGATATGGAATAATATAAATCTAACTGATAAAATAAAAATAAGTGTCTATGAGGCAGTGTGCTTAGTACGCTATTATATGGCAGCGAGGTGGGGACCATAATTAATATATACCATTCAGGAGCGGAAACTCAACAGCTTCCATCAAAGATGTCTGAGTCGCATTTTACGCATTCGATGGCAGGACACGGTGCCTAACACGGAGGTCTTGGAACATGCACAAATGTTTAGCATATTCTCCGCTCTTAGCAAGAGGCGTCTTCGCTGGTTAGGTCATGTAAAGATAATCGAGGAAGGCCATATCCCAAAGATGCTGCTGATGGAGAATTGGCAGAAGGGACAAGACTTATCGGACGGCCACGCCTCAGATTTATGGACGTTTGCAAACGGAGCATGAAGGAAGCCAATATTGAAAACAATGAATGGGAGCTCATTGCCGAACAACGTTCCAGCTGGTGAACAGCAGTGTATGAAGAAGTAAAAAATGGACAGAAGATACGCAAAACGAGGCCCTTACAACAAAAGAACAAAACGGAAGTCAAAATCTTACCAAGAATCAAAATTCTCCTGCGAGAAATACAGTCGAGATTGCCATTCTAGGATTGGCCTAGTGAGCCACTCGTCGAAGTGTAGGACTACGTAGCTGCTCCATCGTCTCGCGAAGACGGAAGGATGCCATATATATACATGTTTAGATGTGCTTGCGTTGTTTAAGCAGCAACCATTTTAATGGGAAAAAAAAGATTTAAACAACCCAGCATCAAAACAAGAAGTTAAAATACTATACTAAAAAATAGAACAATTTATTTTGTCAACCTATTTTTTTTAATATTATTATTGTACTATATTGTTATATATCTTATATCTCTTATACTTTTGGTTCGTTATGCTGGGTCTTCACAACCGGTCACCCCTCCACCACCCCACCCCCAGCCCCACCCACCCCCCTCCCAAATCCACATGTTTAAAATTAATAGTATTGATTGGAAAAAAGGCTGTTACGCACCGAGCCTCTATGCGTAACGTCTGAATTAAATAGGCTTTTTTTTTTCTTTGTGGGGAAACGACTATTATATGAATCGATAAAGAGCCAGAGTTGTGGTACTAGTCTGTCTGTATGGCTGTCCATAGGACTGTCCATAGTGACTCTAGGCCTATTGCTTAAATATTGCTGCCTGCAGGATTATTGTTTATGGCCGGCAGGTCAGGCGTAGGGCTATCTGTATGCCTATTGTTTAAAGGCCGACTTATATTGAAATTATAGAAAATGCGAAGTTAACTCTTTTTTGTAACACTTGGACCCACCGGGTATTGTCTCAAAATACCCGGTGTAAAAAAAAAAACCCGCTGCACCTAGGTTAAGCCCTAGGATACAGTATTTCTCATCGTTTGCGATCGACTGCTCTAATAGGCAAATGTGTACATCGCTGAAACCGACCGAGCCGTCCCATGCTTTGAGAGTGGTCATCACGGGGGCCAGCGGTGAGATAGGGATGATGATCAGCTACATGATCGCCAAGGGGGACATCAGCGGCAAAAATGAGCTCCTTGATCTCGTGCTGTACGAAAACCGGTCCAAGATGAAGCAGCTGAAAGGTGCAATCAGCGAGGTGAGAGAGAGAGAGAGACAGAAGAGCAGAAGCGAGAATGTCAACATGGTGCTATAATTACATGATTTTATTTCCTATTTAATTTCTCCAATAAATATATTAAATTTCAAAATTATTTTTTTTGTGGGGTGGGGGGGGGGGATAAATTGGGGAAAATTTGTAAATAATAACCAATGGCTGACCTGTGGACACCCAAAAAAAATGGAAATCTCTTCGCAGTATACTGACAATCCCAGCCTTAAAAGGTCGGCGATTGGAAGGTTTTGTACTAATAAGACTGTTGTCACAGACACAAAATTTGAGATTATGACATCATTATTGTATGTTTTAATTTAATTTTTATTTTTAATAATTTTGTTTTAATAATATCGTTTTAAGTTGTTTTTTTTTTTAAATTAGTAAAAAGCAGTTGAAGAGTTAAACTTATCGAAGGTGTAAAAGATCGTTGAATTCCTCCAGAGATAAAGGTTTTCAGGAAACAAAGATTACAGCAAGCGAGCCTTCAGAAACTAATGATGTCAAACTAGTTATTCAACTCACAACAAAGTTAAGAGATTGTCGCAGAAAGGCAGTCAGATTTATGTTTCAAGTCCATTGAATATTATGTAACCTTTTTACGTGTTTTAATTTTCAAATGTCACAGTTGATACTGCTATTAAGCGTCATGCCTGATACTGCTATTCAATGTCATGGTTGATACTGCTATTTAATGTCATGGCTGAAACTACTATTAAACTGATACTGCTATTAAATGCCATGTCTAATACTGCTATTCAATGTCATGGCTGATAATGCTATTCAATGTCATGGTAGATACTGATATTAAATTTCATGGCTGATGCTGCAATTAAATGTCATGGTTGATATTGCTATTAATTCCTTGACGCGGCCATGAGAAAGCCGCTCATAAGCGACCGTTTCGTCACAACTTTCGTCCCGACCGAAATACTCCCTGGACAGTGGGGGTGGTAACGCAACACCTTTCCCCCGGAATGGAAGCAAAGCCGTCCTGACACACGGAGAGTGGACCGCGAACGCTTTAAACGCAGCGTTTTCGGTCGAAACTAACGTCCCCCAGGCCAGGGGGGTGGTTCCCAGCGTGCTTCCGCACGGTCTGGCGGTGGGGAGACCCTGCGTCTGGCACGTGTGGAGGTGTGAAAAAGGGGGGGGGGGTATTAAGAGCTCGCGCTCAACGACCCACCGACGCCATCTCCAAAGTGACGTTATCAATTCTTTGACGGAATGTTTCAAGCACATGAGATTAGGTGATTACAGACATCTCGTTAGGAATTGTTGAACAAATTTACAGATTTAAAAAATGTGCCAACAAATGGGAAACTACTCAGAAATAGAGGCCTAGAGATTTTGTTATTTGGTATACATGTCGCCATGTAAAAAAAAAAAAAATCTTCACTGAACTTCCATACAGTTTTTACACTCTAATTAGTGTTTGAATGTTTTTTCCAACAATAAGACCTATTAATTTCATTTCGAGCTTGCTCTGTTGAAGGAAACTTGTAACTGGCAGTCTTTCCACAGCTTGGCACGTGCAACCTCGGTAAGGTTAGGTCCTTTCATGCCACCGATAGTCTGATGGAAGCTTTCTCGAATGCTGACGTCATCATACTCGTCGGTGGACTCTGGGCGGCGCCTGGCTATTCTCGAAATGATCTCATCGGAGTTAACGCCCTTGAATTCAAGGTAAATATTCAGCGAGTCAATGTTTGGTGCTTGTATGTGAAGAGGCGTCCAATACGAGTTTGGGGACAAGATCCCCACCCATAGTCGCCTTTTGTTAGTTAGTCGCCTTTTGAATTTCTCCAGGTAACAAAACTAAGATGGGAAAGAAGAAAATACTAATATTTTTTATAAATTATTATTTTTAAAATTTAAATAAATGTAACGAAATCACAAGGTTTGTGATTTTTGTTGATAAAAAAAAAAGCTCTTTCTTAGGGGCAGTCCCAGAGGTTGTTTTAGCTTGTCTGGGCTATAATTGTAATTTAACTCCATTCCACCAGTTTGGCTTTGACCAATATTCCCCGCACAGCTACCAATCATTGTTAGAGTTTTCAGAAATAAAATTAACATAAAAAAAATTATAACCCTACTAAAATTCATTTATTAGCCCAAACACTGGATTGGATACTTTAATTTCCTGAGAAATGTGAAGAATTATTGATCTATTAGCGACATTGTCAGAGCTTCTTACCATTGTTGAATAGTCAACAAAGGTCTTACAATTTGTGAACTGTGCATTTTGGTATTATTAATAGCTATAAAGAACTCTCGAATTCAATACAAATACATACAATTGACTAGAGTCAAGTAGGAGAGGTTTTGGGCTTCCACCACTCGAGGGGGGTGGGGGGTTAGACGCCCCTGTGTATGTGTGTGCATGAAGTAGGGGTGTATTAAAATACAACCGTTTTAGTTGTGTTTATAATGGTCGGTTCGTTTATTCTCACTTGAAGAAAAGGAGGGTTCTCAGTTCTCACCAAGCAACATAACATGAACATTTGGATATTTTGGCATAGGACATAATATATTTTTCCTTCATGGCCCACACAATGGCCTCGCGTGCAACAAATTTTAAACATGTATTCTGTCATGTATCAGGTCACTCTGAATTGTGCCGGGGTACAAAAAAAAAACTAAGATTCTGAACATACTTTTAATTTATGTCAACGTAACGTGACGTTATGACCTTATGTTGCTGTTTTCCCCCAGGAAGTCGGACTCGTCTTGTCAAAAGTTGCGAAAGAAACGGTCAAAATCTTGATGGTCGTAGAGCCGCAGAATATCAACCTCATGGTGCTCAGGTCAGTGTGTGTTGAGGTCAGTTTGTGCTGAGGTCAGTGCATGCTGAGGTCAGTTTGTGCTGAGGTCAGTGCGTGCTGAGGTCAGTGCGTGCTAAGGTCAGTGCGTGCTAAGGTCAGCGTGCTCTCAGGTCAGCGTGTGCTCTGGTCAGCGTGTGCTCAGGTCAGTTTATGCTCAGGTCAGTGTGTCAGATTTCGAACATAAAAACAACGCAATACTACAAAGAAGATGTTGCGACAGTTTTAACCACCCCACACCCCACCCCGTATTCAAGCAAAGATATCCATGTCTGATCACCGCTTGTTTTTCGTTTATAATTAACACCCCCCCCCCAAACTACCATACGTTGCAGAGTATTTATTTGTTGTTGTTTTTTTCCAATAGACCAAACGCACGCTCCATACTTTCCCCAAAACCCAAGAGCCGCCATGATTCCCGTGTTATTTTATTCCAACATCATGACGTCGACACCCGCCTACTGTGGCACCGTCCGATCACCGAACTATTTGTAAAAATTATTAATGCCGAATGTAAAAAAAATAAATAAATAAAACATAACAAAGCAGCATCATCAGAGATTTAAATATATATATATATATATATATATATATATATATATATATTTAAATTTTAAAAAAAACGCAACGGCCCTTAAAGCCCCAATGTAAAAAAAATAAATAAATAAAACATAACAAAGCAGCATCATCAGAGATTTAAATATATATATATATATATATATATATATATATATATATATATTTAAATTTTAAAAAAAACGCAACGGCCCTTAAAGCCCCCATGATAAGCCATCGTTAAGCAGTAATACGAAACAAAGGAAACTACTCCCGACATAATGGCATTGAAGTTATCCGGTTTATTCTGTGACACAAATGTTGTCAAATGTTTCGTTTCAGTTATTTTGCACCCAACCTGAAACCGTGTAACCTGACTGGCCTGTCCAGGGTTGACCACAACCGGGCCCAGACAATGATTGCGAGGATGCTTCAGATTTCATGCGACAAGGTTGAATCTTAGCCTAATTTTTTTTTTTTTTTTTTAAATTAATTTGTTTTCAAAAGACTTGCTATCGAAGATGAGTTGAAAATGCGCTAAAAAGTAGAAAATAATTTTAAATTTCTTAAAATTGATATGCAGCCAAAGTCTATGCTGAAGTGTGGAAAATGATCATATTTAGCCAAAGGCTTTAAATTAAATGAATTAAAAATATATTAGATATAAAATAAATAAAATATGTTTTACTTTTAATTCATTAAAAAAAAATATTTTCTTCTCAGACTTTCTTTGCATTTTCAATAAATGTTTTCCTTGTTTTGTTTTTTCTTTTTTTTTCACATTTTTTCGTTTTCTTACTTTGTTACTATTAAATTTGTAATATTTTAACTATCGAAAACAGTTTTTAGAATTTGTTCCTTTTTAAACCAAGGAATTCTTATAAATTCCGGTTAAAGGGTATTTACTTTTTACCCTGGCATCAAACAAACTAAAATTGGATTTTAACGGTTGCAGCGTTTTATAACAATGACAACGAGCCGTACGTGTTTTCAAATTTATTTGCCGTATGCCCTGCCCCTAACCTTTTCCGAACACACCCCCCCCCCGACCGAAAATTCTACAACACTCGACTTTGCTCCCCAACCCACCTTTCTCTCACCGCCCACTGACCGAATCAGACGCAATCAACCACGATCAACCAAGCGTGAGGGTCACGTGTGACAACAAAAATAAATGTATTCTACAAAGTTAAGAAACCAAATGGATTTCCGAGTAGATAGAAAGTATTTTAAAAAGTGAATAATTACAACTGCATTATTGAGTTTTGATTCGCTTTAAACCTAAAATTGTATCACAAATTTTATTAGGGTTTAATTATAATAATATATTCAGATGAAACTTTGATAATGGCCCAGATCTAGATCATATTTACTTATATTTACTTTAATCGCCTTCTTTATTTGTTTATTTTATTTTAAACGTTCAAAAGCTCTAAGCGTATTAAATAGTCTCGTTGTCTTGAAATTCGCCACGAATCAAGTCTTTGATGTCTAAACCTGTTGTTTTAATTCAAATGACCAATTTGGACTACAACAACAGTATTCACGGTTAAACGTCTTTTATATCTTTATTTTAAATATGTCGTTCATCCTACATTTTCGACATTATTTGTATCATTTTGTCGTTGTTGTATATTTTTAAAGCAAAAATCCATATTGCTCAATAACAATCTGAGGGATTAGATGACAGCTTCCAATTTTTTTCTTCTCTTTCTCTTTTAGATAGCACATCTAACAATGTGGGGCAACAGATCACTGAACATATTCCCAGACATACGTCACGCCAAGATTGAGGTTTGTGGGAACCTGCTTCCGGCCTACGAAGCCATTAAAGACGATTTTTTCCTCAAGTACAAATTCACCGAGCTGCTACAAAACCGAGAAGCTGACATCATAAAAGTAAGGCGACGGAAATGTACGAAAGGGGCTCTTTTAATGACATAGCGATTGTGCAACTCAATAACGGGTTTTGGTAAATGTAAATACGTGATTTTAGTGCATCTGCACATTCGAAGTTGATGCGCGTAAATAAGCAATTTGCGAAACAAGCACTGATGTATGAAATGAGTTGAATAGTTATGCTCATTAGAAGAGCATTCAATTCAATATATTTTCAGCGACGCGCGCGAATTCAAAATACAATCTGAAATAGACAAAATCTGAGGGAATTCAGTTAATGTCACTAAATGTTTAAATTTATTTAAAGAAATAGTTTTCGCAACGCTATTCTTAAATTGTTGTAGAAGCGTAAGACGAATGGATGCCACCAGACCGTGGCCTCCGCTGCTGTGCAACACATAAAGGACTGGATGCAGGGAACCAAACCAGGGGACTGGACATCAATGGTTGTCATCTCTGACGGTAGCTATGGCATTGACAAAGGTGAGATTTTAAAAACAGAGCATATCGAGGAGACAATTTAAACTCAGCGTGGACTCCACTACTAGTATTTCGTTTCAAGAGATGTGTTGTCTTCCCTTGATCTGTTTTTTTGTGTACTCTTACAGTCCTGGGCATATACAATGACATTCCAAAAAAAGTATTTAAAAGATGAAGTATGATTGAACATTAGCAGTCCCCTGCCCGTTCTTTCTGTTTCAGCCGGTAGTAAAACCTTCTCATAAACCCACGCTTCTATTTCTGCGACCAGGTCTAGCTTACAGTTTTCCTGTCAAGGTCAGCAAGCAGGGTGAGTGGGAGATCGTTCAAGACCTGGACATCAACTACTACGAACGAGAAAAATTGGACGTAAGCCATCGTCTTTACAATGTGTACATGAGTAGTATAAGCTCGTTGCAATTTAAAATTTCTACACGTAGTTATAGTGATAAATAAATAGCAATGCATTAATTCGCTAAGCACGCAATCATTACATTCAGAGTTCACTTTATACCTTTAATGTGGGCTTGGCTTCGTTGATCTCTTTATCTCTTCTCGGTTACCGCCAGGAGCGAGTCAATGAGATCAAGACGGAGCGAATGTTCGCCTACAGCATTCTAGAACTACCGGAAGCCAAGCAGGAGATTGAGAAAGACGAAGAGTGTGCGGTGGACCAAGCCAGGGCCACCAAGTGGAGCTTCGGCCACACAGATCCGGTGCCCTGCAGCATTCTAGGTCCACTGGAACAAGAACGATTGGGCAGTATGTGAAACGGTGGGGGCGGGGGGGGGGCATATCTTTTTCGGATGATGAAATAAGTTTTCTTCAAAAAGGCAAATGACTTGATATGTTTTAAGTCGCTTCGTTATAAAGGTTAACTTGTTTGCGTATTACTAAGTTCGTGTTTTATTCTTTGTACGAATGTTCGTTTCATTTAAGAATGATTGCTGATGCTTGCAATGGCCCCGGGCATAAAGATCAGATACATTACATATTTTCCACTCACAAAAATTGTGTTGAGAAAAGCTGCATTAAAACTGATTTTAAAAACCGATTACTAACTAGCCCCCGGGTTAAGACCATGGCAGAGATGGGAATCGAACCGAATTCGAAACGAATACACCGACCCCGGACCGAATCCGAACTTCAACTACACTGAATACGAACAAACGTGAACAAACCTATCACCAACTGGTTAGAAACTGACACTCTTTTTTTACGAATGTGTTCATCATTACTCATACCACAAGTGCTTATATTTCAATTAAAATTAGAAAACCCAATATCAGTCTGATTTTTAAAAAGAAAATCACAGCTTGCTCACCTCTCTCCCGGCACCAGCGTTCCGCGAATTTCGGAATAGACTCGGCTCCTATTAAGGCGTGACAGAGTAAAAAAAAATACTTTATAGCCGACAAGTGGCAATTATTTTTTTTTTAAAATATCGTTCAAAATATAAAAAAAATTAGATGAGGCCTATGAATACATCAATCAAATTAATTATTTACAGAGTACACGATGATTCCACAAAACGAAAGAAGAGGCACAATAGATCAAAAGAGATGATAGGAAGCGCCATCTGCCTTCATTATTTAGCATGAGCCCCTTAACCGGTAACTTAAATTAATAACCGGTTTCCCGAACGAAAACAACAAAAACAGTATTGCACCTTTTGTTATTACAGAACCGGAGCCAAACGTAGGCATTCAACGAACTGAAGCCAAACTTACGCATTCCCCGAACCGAACTCGAGCTTAATCAAACTTTTATCGAACTGAACTCGAACTTAAATTTTTTTCCGAAACGAACTTCTAAAAATCGTGTTCGATTCCCATGACTAGTTTGGACTTTCCTTGGACACAATCCTCTGTTTTGCCGAAACCGGTACTATTGACCGCACTTGAAAACTGAACGGGATTCAAGCATTTTTTGTACAGACATGGAGTAATTTACTGTTGAAGAGAGTGGCAAGAAATCCTATCTATATATATATATATATTTTTAAAACAACACACCAAGCATGCTACGGTTTTATGAAATCCAAAATCCCTTACAAAGTGCCATTGTTCGGTTAAAGAAAAGATAACGTGAACTCCAAGATTGCGGAAGATTTTAAGTAAAGTGGGAAATGTTCATGAGTGCCCGTGTTTCCCCGTGCAAACCGGCCACATTCAGGGTTTACAAAAATGATGGGGAGGATCTTATTGGTGGATCTCAAAATGTATTAAGTTTGCCGAGAAAACTCACCACACTCTGTAACGCTGCCCGCGATCAGCCCTATTTGTTTAAAGCTTTGTGTTGACTTTTTTGTTTTGGTGAACCACCCCCTCCGCATCACCACCCCCCCCCCTCCTTTTCCGCAACACCAGTCCTTTGTCGCTTCAATAACTGCCTTTAATCTTGATCCCAAAGACTGCAAAGAAGTCCATCATCCTTGCGTATTTGATCTTGTTCCACTATTTATTTACGTATTTTATCTTGTTCCTCTATTTATTTACGTAGTTGATCTTTTCCCACTATTTATTTACGTATTTTATCTTTTCCACTGTTTATTTACGTATTTTATCTTGTTCCACTATTTATTTACGTATTTTATATTTTTCCACTAATTAGTTACGTATTTTATCTCCCCCCCCTCCACCCACCCCCTAATCTTTAACGTAGTTTATGGGCAGCCTAAGAAAGTTTACAGCTTAAAACTGTATCTTGCTAGAAACGTTGGACGATGCTTTCAAAGGAAGAAACTGGAGGATGTGTTTCATGAGTCAGCTCCCTTGAGACGCGCGGTGGTGTTTAGAAAGAATTTTCGTTTTTCCTGTCCACGTGTTCTATGAGCTGACGGTGACCGTGACTAGCGGGATGTTTTTATGTTTTTCTCTCGCTCCCACCACGTCCGCCTTAAGTCAAGCCATCACAAGGTTTAGACATTTATGGCCAGGTTTTGTTTCAGATCATGTTTTTTTATTGGTCTAAAATGTCACACCAGGTTTGTTAGATGTTGTTGTAAAGTTGTTATTGGGTGTCGAATCGATGCCGCCACCCCCCCCCACCCCACCCCACCCCCCATCACGTTGGTGACGTTTTTCATGTGATGGCTTTTGACGTTGTCGTCTCGCGGGATCCCCGGACAAGACGTCAGAGTTTGAACTTGATATGAAGAGCACTCGCGAGCCCGAGAGTCTCGTTGATCCCCGAAGTTAGGATCACGCAGCTGTTTGATGAGCTTCGGTGAGCAGAGCCATTCGGCGCCCCCTCAGAGTGAACCCCCTCTTCCGTTTTATGTTTGGGATCATTTACGGGTCCGGAGGAGAATCTTTTGTTCTCAGCTCAGTTCGGACACCGAGACGTTATAACTTAATGCACCTTAATTTTATAAACCCTTGAGTGAAGTTATATACTTGCCGATAGAAAATATCAAAAAGTTCTTTGCAAAAAAAAAATAAATAAAAATAATAATAATAATAAAATGGGCTGACTATTCATTTTGTCATTGCATGACATGACAGTCTGAGAAACATGCTGGTATCCACCTGTTGCCGTTTTATTATGTTTTTTGGTATAATATGAAATTAAAAAATCCTTTAATCTCTATACGTGACTGCTTATTTCCAGTTATAATAGCATTACTACAGTACACAACCCAATTTGTCAATAAAAACGTGGCTTATCAACCGGATATGAAATGTAAACTGCTGCACAATAAATCTCAACACCAAAACACGCAATGGTTTCGGAGAGTTACAGTTTTTTTAATTTAAAAAAAGCATTATTTGAACATTTCACACATACATCAAACTGATAAGTGAAGTTATTAAAAGATTTTTTTTTAATATTTAAAAACATAATAATTATTATATTTATTAAACAGCGTATGGCTTTGCTAAGTTCGGGTAAATTATCTTCTTTAATCCACAGAGGAGAGAACCGTTTTACTTAAATGACAAACTTCTCATTTTTTTTGTTACACACACACCATTCTGTCCCTGTGTTTTCGGTGCCCCCCCCCCCTTGAAGATTTCTTTGACTCACCAATCCGCTACTCGCAACAGTCGTACTCCTATCCCCCTTACCCCCCTCCTCCTCCCAGTTTTCGGGGCCCCCCCCCCCCCTTGAAGATTTCTTTGACTCACCAATCCGCTACTCGCAACAGTCGTACTCCTATCCCCCTTACCCCCCTCCTCCTCCCACCGCAGACAGTGGATACGAGCAGTAAGACGAGTCTTCACGCTAACCAAGAAAAAAGGTGAGTCGTGAATGTCAAAGCAGGAGTCACACCTGAAGTTTGACGTGATGAACTTCTCATAAAAAAACTGGACCCGCTCGGAGCAAGCCATAAACAATTTGCAGGTTAAAAAGTCGATCATTTGGGGAAATTGATCTATCGGAGAGTCGAGTGTACTTATAATACTTAATTAGTGTACGAGATATTACCAGACCATATGTTGATGAATAATAAATATAGACGAAGGAAATTATGTAAATAATTTTTTTTTTTTTTTAAATTCACCATATGATTTTAGGTGTGACGTGCATATTTACGAAATATTTTTTAAAGAGTGTCATACCATAAATAAAATTAATAATATATATATATATATATATATATATTGGTAGAATTAAAAATAAAAACGTTTAGCTTCGACCGTGAACAGAACCCCTTCTCCAGAACGTAGCAAGATTAGGGTCTTGCTTGTGATTAAAGGATGCTGTGTGTTGAGGGCGGAAGCTCGTCATTTCTAAATATTAATCTTTAATATAAATTAACTTAATCATTGTTATTTAATATTATATTTCAAGATAAAAAGAAATATTAAAAAAAACTATTTCAAATGTTTGTTTGTTTACTTTGCCAGTTCTTCTCTTCATCACTGCACTATGTTTAACACGTCAGTAGCAGTTCGTGGATGCAAGCATTACGATTTATTTTTGTTATCGGTTAGATCAGTGGTTCTCAACCTTCCTAATGCCGCGACCCTTTACTACAGTTCCTTATGTTGTGGCGACCCACAACCACAAAATTGTTTTCATTGCTACTTCATAACTGTAGGGTATATGTTTTTTCCGAGGGTCTTAGGTGACCTCTGTAAAAGGGCCATGCGACCCCCGAAACGGTGGCGACCCACAGGTTGAGAACCGCTNGATAGAAAAAAAGGGGTGGGGGGTGATTTTGTAGGGTGATGAGGACTCAATTGGGGGGTTGGGGTGTCTGTAGGTTGAATAATGAAGGTACTGATGATGTGGTTTGGGAGGGGGCATAGGGCTATGATTTGGGTGCTGAGGAGAAAGCGTGCTGGAGTTTGGAAATAATAATTTATATATGGTAAGGGAAAGTTGTGGTGGCAAGGGAATTTATTAGTAGTCACTAAACTTTTTTTTTTGTATGCCCTGTTTCGTTAATTTAAAAAAAATACTGTTCTCTCCAGGCTCAACCGCATGTTAGATAAGGGTATTTTTTCTAGTATAAAAATATATGTAGACAAAGATTCACACACAAACACACACACACACACACACACACACACACACACGCACACACACAGCCTTTTATTAAATAATTTAAAATAAATTTTCCAGTGAATTATTATATTTGTTGCTATTGAAAACACGAAGTTGCCAATTTTAAGTCACTGGAGTTAACCTCAAAAAAAAAAAGAAAAAGATTCGTGAAGATGCAGCAGAATCAAAAGAATTACTTCTAAATTTTAAAAAAATCATAAAGCCTTTTCAACTGCCGCCACCACAAAAAATTCTAGCCACGCCCATTTATCTGTCGCGACACA